TGAATTTGTTCCTCTAAGGAACACTTTCTAATCAAAAATTAATATTTTTTATATTTTTTTTTATCTATCAAGGTATGGGTTACACTCCATATTTTTTATATTTTTTTATCCAAGGTATGGGTTACACTCCATATTTTTTAGTCAACTTTAAAAAAAAAAATAAAGTCAAAAGTTACATTCCATATGAAAATCGCGATTTTGTCATCGATTATAGTGGCTAGCAGCAGAAGCAAATCTCGGTTCAGCCAAATTTGAAAGGTAATAAATTAAACGTTTACAACTTGACAATTACAATTAATGACGAGTAATAGCGAATAGTAAACCAATGCACAAGGTCTTGGAGCACCTTGTAATCAAAACCGCTTGACCATACCTTGCTTCACTGTCATTTGGCAGAGAGCTAAAGTTTTGTGGTGCATTTTAACAGTGTTTCGATGCTATTACCCGTATAACTGTCAACTCAACCTGACTTCGCCATTAATTAAAATTTTCTCTACTTTTTCTGCTCTACAAAATGAGACCTCGAGCAATTGCTTTTCGACAACAAATTGGCAGAGAATAGCCTATTAGGCGCTGTAGATCCACGAAAACTGGTGCTACACCTTCAAGTAAAACCTCAAACGAAAGGTAGCTCTTTGGTTCACGCAATAAACAACACTATAGATGAAGTAGCGCAAATTTAGTACATACTTTCCTTGAGATTTTTCAAAATATATGAAAAACAAGCTTATTTGCGCACAAGCTATACAGCATCACTTACATGTGTGGTATTATTTGATGCGCATTAAAATTCTCTGCCAAGCTACGTGGCTAATATAGCTGCATTAGAAATTTTTGACAATTTTTCTGCCTAAAAGTCGCAAAATACAGGATTTTGAGCAAAATCATGAAGAGGGCGTGCATTTGGAATTTAAAGCACACATATCATAATAGATCCAGAGTAGAGTTATTGAATGGTTTTTGTTTATCTAAATATGATGCGTCTTTCACAAGATATGATCAAAAATTCCTTCGTGCAAAATCACCGATTTTTGGACAGAATTTGCCTACAGTAGCAAGGAGAAAATCTGGATGACAATTTTTTGAGATACAAAATTGTTGGTATTTCATGATAAAATTATGCTAGAGCTTTGAATCAGAGCTCATTCGGCAGGATTTTTTTTTGCTCTATACTTTGATAAGTACTACAAATACAGTTTTGACGACAGAAACTTGGTAATTTGTCAAAAACAACCAAAAAACCGCAAAAAACATCCTATCAAGAATTAGTCTAATAGCCAAGGCTTGTACACTTAAAAGTGGTAACACCTCTGATACTCACTACACTGTACAGTGATATTAGTGGTGACGGCTTTCGACTGGAGTTTTTTATTAGCATTCCTCCCTTTCTTTTATTGCACTTTGCAAGCTTTCCACTCATAAAACAACGCTACCTTTATTGATAAAACTAGAGTATGTATAATTGACAACAGCACGATAGACGTAGAACACAATGCTAACGCGTATTATATAGTGATTGTACTTGTGAAGGTTCTGGTTTGGGTTCTATATCTGGCCTACTGCTACGCGCTTTGTGGTGGTTGCTTCGATGGTCTTATCCTGGTGCTTGCGTATCCCTTGGTCTGTTATCTTTGGTGCATGCTGGTTTTCTAGTCTATCTCTGGCTATGGTACGTGGTAAGTAGCTTTTTTTCCTCCGGCTGCAATGATATAAAACGTCTTTGAACGTTTGTGTTATTATTATTGCTTCCTTCCTCATGATAATGCATTTTATCATGATGTTTGTTTTGTTGCGTTTTCTTTCTCTTTTGTTGGCTGTGATATGATCAGTTCAACAATTACTTGTTGCCTACATATTACTATACCCCTATGGTAGTATGTTCTTTTCTTTCTTTTATTATTATGTTTCTTTGAAGCATACCTTTTTTTACGTTGTGTGGATGTGCCTATCCCTGAAGCTCAACAAGACTCTATCCGAGGCCAGAAGGTGGATAGGCTGCCTCCACTTGGTTATCGCTACTTACTTTGGTGATGATTGAGGGTCTCAACGCCAGAATTTTAAGCTAGGTGATGTAAGTAAGGCATGCTCTAGCACCTGGGGGAAGTTTGATGACAGCGCACACTGCTAGATTTGGTATACCTAGCGGCGCTTAAAATTTTGCCTCACATCAAAACAGGGGGAAACCCTCGCAATTTTTTTTTTAGGTCAGCGGAGTTTTCAAGCAATCTGATTGGCTAAGAGATTGAAACAACAAAGGTCTGCAACTAGTTGATTTCCTATTGATTTGTCATTTAAAACTGTTTCGTTTTTGTAATAAAAGAGTATCCAAACAAACTATTTTGTATTAAATAGTAGCATAAGATGCATTTATTTGATTTGTTATCCATTACACAATCTTATGGGATAGATATTTATTTAATTTACTATGTGAAGATGCTTAATATTAGATATTACTTGAATATAGCGTTACTTACATTGCTATTACAGCAGTATTTATTAAGAATGATTGCAAAAGCTGCTGGTCCAATGCTGCTGAATTACGTGAACAAAGTTAATCTCTCAGACATCATCTGCAGGGTGGACACACCTTCCAGGCATTATTTGCAGGAACGACACACCTTCTAAGAATCTTTTCTATATTATACGCGGCATACTGCAGGTAAATCCACTATCATATGGTGTTTTGAGTATAGCACTTAACCATTGTAATGCTTTAAATTATAAGCTACGGCCATACAATGTTGAAAGCACCGGATCCCGTCCGATCTCCGCAGTTAAGCAACATCTGGACCAGTCAGTACTATGGTGGGGGACCACATGGGAATACTGGTTGCTGTAGTTTTTGCACTTTTTTTTTTGGTCAAATTTTTAAAAATGGTTATCAAAAATTTATGTAAAAGATGTGTTTCAAGCATTAACTGCAAATCTGCCTTTTTTTTAGTCTATTCAGACAATTGTGTATAATGGACATGTATAAAATAATTCTTGAATGGGTATAAAAGGCATTTTGGTCAGCCAGCAGCGCTAAAATAAATTCAAATCTAGCTTATTTTTTTTTTGATCAAGATTGACCAAATTTCGTCCTTTTTCGGCTTCTTTAAACTATTTTGCAAGTTTCGACTATGTAAGTTGTGATGATCAGCCCCTACTTCCTAAGACATTTCTGTACTTTTTAAGGCGCTTCCAATGGTGCCAAAAAAAATAGGTGTTTTGACTGAGCTAATTGAGCTATTTTAAAAAATATAAAATGAAGTTCTTGGCCGAAATGTCAAAATCCTGCATATGAAAACCTCATAGAAGTAATTTCAGAAGTTGCTTTGGGTTGAGAGGAACATTTTGATTCAATATATACCATAGTAAAAGTCTTCGTTTTCAAGGTGAAAAATGCGATCGTTTGATTTTCGATGAAAATCATGAGGGATACCTCATGGTTTTGAGTCGATTCTTGACCATATTTTTTTTTGACTCAAAAAGTTGAGCAAAAGTGCCAGGAAGTTACTGCTACTCGAGTACAATTGTTTAGCGTTATTCTGATGGCTCATAAAAGCCTACATGTCAAGATATTAAGGCTTGAATGCTGTCAAATTTCTTTGTTTTTAATACATTTGCTTGTCAATATATATATCAAACAACTTGGTATTTAGTGTATACTATCTCAGTTGCACTTTTAGTGTGAGACGTTTAAAGATTACTGATTCTCCGTTTGCTTACTAGGAAATTGCAGTAAAAAGGTATCACGTTTTGGGATACTGTGTATGTAATATTTAAAGTCAGATGTATCACTATTCTATAAAAACTAAGATATATTAAATAAACATCAATTAAAAAGCTTCGTTCGTTCATTGTAGAAGAAAAACGAATCTAACAATTTGTGATTCTTCTATCCAGATCGCAATCAGAGTATTCTTATGTTTGTTTCTATGTATTTTATATATAGGAACACTACGGTAGTATACTCAGTAGTGTAGTTGAACTTTTGTGAAATTATCGCTACGATTTAATCCAGGCATTTCAGAAATGAATTGCTTAGAGAAGATTTGGGTATTGTATATTGCTTTCCAACTATGGATAATGATATTACTATACAACTGGGCGAACTTGACGAAACAGAGCTGCAAAGTTTAGTGGAAATCAAGAGTCCATCGAGTGAGTGCAGGATCAGAATATTACATTCTGATTCAGTATTTCGCAAGAAAAATGATAGGATTGCTAAAGGTTCAGTAATGGCCTCGGCGTTAGAGTACTCTGGCAACAGACGAAATTACAACGAAGCCGTTATAGCTCGATTTTAAGTAATTGAGTGCCATGTAATTTGAAATAAAGGGTAAGAGCAGTGGATTTATTCATTGCCCTTTCATCTATATCCTCGGATATAGTGTCCTTATTCATTTAGTTACCTGGTTGATCCTGCCAGTAGTCATATGCTTGTCTCAAAGATTAAGCCATGCATGTCTAAGTATAAATAAATTTATATTGTGAAACTGCGAATGGCTCATTAAATCAGTTATGATCTACGTGACATATTCATTACTACTTGGATAACCGTGGTAATTCTAGAGCTAATACATGCAAAAAAACCCAAACTTACGAATGGGTGCACTTATTAGATAAAGCCAACGCTGGGTAAAACCAGTTTCCCTTGGTGATTCATAATAATTTAGCGGATCGCATGGCCTTGTGCTAGCGACAGTCCACTCGATTTTCTGCCCTATCATGGTTGAGATTGTAAGATAGAGGCTTACAATGCCTACAACGGGTAACGGGGAATTAGGGTTCGATTCCGGAGAGGGAGCCTGAGAAACGGCTACCACATCCAAGGAAGGCAGCAGGCGCATCAATTCTACAACTAAATCATAATTAAGTTACACTCCATAAGTCTTGGAAATACTCCATAAGTCTTGGAAATACTCCATAAAAAATTAAAACTCTTTGCTGATCCTCTCAATGTAACTAACGTAGTTTATTACTAAATGCAATGCTAAAATATAACAAGACTTTATTCATAAAAGTACTACTGCTTTTCCTTTCTTGCAATTAACCCTAACTGGTGCAAAGCAGGGTTCCATGACAACGGGCATAAATCGACCCAAAATAGGCAGCGATTCATCTTCGTCAATAATGATTTTGACATTCTCCATCATAATCCTAGAACTAAGAATCATTGTCAACAAAGCCGGCATCTTACTACGAATCATAGCTTCAGTAACTGGATATGATACTGAATTGAAGGCATCATATCGAGTAACATAGCCTTGAGGGGAATCCAGTAGGTACAACGTCAGGGTTTCAGCAGCAATAAATAAACCACTAATATGCAACCTGTGAAGCACACCAGGTGATGTTGAAACTATCTTGCCCAACATATCTTTCATCACTTTAGGCATCTTGAAACCAGCATCTCGGAATTCTTTTCTGGTATTGACCCCACCAACCAAAGCACATTCACCACAACTAATCTCAATATCACTTTCTTTTATCTTGAACAGGTAATCCATCTTGCGGCCTGTTTGCTGTCTACTGCAATCACTTGGAGAACGGACAGAGTTGGCAGCATCTGTAGATGCTTTACTGCATTTTTCACGACTATACAATTTATATTTAGCAAATACTCCATTTAATAACTGAATTAACTTACGTGACACATCTAACAGCAGCAAAATCAAAGCACTTGTCCACACAGGACCACATTCTTCGACCCATTCCTTGTTCTGTAACATCACGCAACGGGAAAAAACCACTTTGAACTAGGCGAATAGCATTGTTGTAACTGTCTTGAATCCAATACTCATGAGTGTTAGGTGCAAACGTAACCTCATTCACTTTCGTATACAACTGATCTCTGGGTGTGTTGAGCAATTCTTCCATATAAGTAGTGACATTGGATGGTAACACAGGCAACTGCAAAGCCTTATAACTTTTAATTTCTTCCATTTCCGCTGGCGAAAAATAATCATTCCAACATCTGTCTCTGACATCCATAATCAGTGAATGACACAAACTATTAAAAACCCATTAATAACATATCCATTTACCAAATTGTAACACTTTACTGTTCATGGTCCTTCGAGATAGCAAGCTTCATCATCTCCTCCTCTACCACTTTGCCTGTAGACAATTTCCACATCTTTGTCTTGTCCAATCCAATATACATATTTTTAATTTTCTGCTTATCTTGATTTGTCAATTTATGTTTGACAGGCACGGCATCGTCTGTGGAAATACTATTGGATGATGATGATGATGTTGTTGATATTACTCCGCCTGAAACAGAACGACAAGTTGCTGATCCTCTAGATTCGGCTTTTTAGAAATCGTAGCTTTTACTGACCAGTCTGTCAATAATCGTAGCAGAAATCTTGTCCCAGTTTGCCTTTTGAGAGTTAGGCTATTTACAAAATATCAGAAAATGTCTTCCATTTGCACATTTTTGAACTTACCAAATCAGTTCCCTTAGATCTGCAAAAGGAAAACACACGTCGAATCCAGCTCCTTCTATAATTGTCAAATTCATCGCCATTATAAACATCAACAATGTCATCGTGTAAACAATTAATTATGGTGCTCAAAGTAAAATTTGCATCGCGAGGAACAAGCTGCAATGCTAATTCAATAACTGAATCATAGGTATTATCTGCTTGGCTAGATGATGATGACATATTTAAACTAAAGAAAACACTTTATCATTATGCAACATTGTTTCACATTCAAAAAAAAATTTCAAAAACAGTCTTTTAAAAAACAGTCTACTCAATTTTGAGCCTTCTCCACTTCTTTTCCTTTACTTTTACATACTGTTATCAAGAGAATTACATATTCTTCTCAAGAGATTGATTTGCTATAGAAGTGTAAAGCGTTGTTCATCCTTCGTCCATGTAACGTGTCTTACGATAAGTCTTTCTCTTTGTTTTGTTCTTATCAAGAAGTTCTCTATTGCAGTGTAAAGCGATGTTGGTTCACCCAATAACGTAGGTGATAGTGAATTATCTTTGTTTTGTTTTTCTCAAGAAAGTGATTTGTTATAGAAGTGTAAAGCGTTGTTCATCCTTCGTCCATGTAACGTGTCTTACGATAAATCATTCTCTTTGTTTTGTTCTTCTGAAGAAGAAGATTTGTTACAGAAGTGTAAAGCATTATTCATCCTTCGTCCATGTAACGTATCTTCTTCATTTCTTTCAATCTTTTTGGGATTAGATCTACTTTCACCTGTTCGCGGTTAATCCTACCAATTCCATTTGGAAAACAAAGCAAAGCAGAGTCTGGATTTTTGCTTACCAATTCCAATTGCAAAGCAAAACAAGTAAAACTCCCTTCTATTCAACATAATCTTGTGTAAAATGTTATAATGGTAAGTGCAGTACATAATGCGCTCTTTGATGCACTCAAGTCAGCAGATCATTCAACTGTACACACTTCTGGCAGTGGATTCTATCCTATCGTCCATTCGATACAAAGTAGAGTACAACATCCAACACACAAAATAAATCGTAATCTCTTCTAATATTTTCTTCCATCCATAGTCTTTATGCATATATTTACAAGAGAATTATCTACCATACAAATGAAAGTATTATACCTACATCATGCGCATATTTGTAAACTATGCCCCTGGTGGTAGGGCGAAGTGGTAGAACTCCCGTATGCCAACGGAAGGATCCCCGGTTCAAATCCTGGTGAACGCAAGTTGTTTGATTTTTTGACGTAGTACTGATGTCCTCGTTTGGTGTTTTGTACTCATCCATGATCTATATTTTGACGATTTCCGCAAGACTGTATTGGCTCTAGGAGTCGCACCTTATTAGTAGTAGATTTCTTTCCCAACTTAGTTCAAAAATATCTTATTCCCCTTCATTGCAGACATTGGGTCCACCAACAGTCTTTTCTATCCCTCAGTATGACATTTAAAGGACTTTAAATAAAACCTGGAGCTCGACTCCCTTACAAAAAAAAAAAAAATATTTGTAAACTAATATATTTTTAGGGCCAGTCAATTGTGTACCTTTTTTGGATTATCTCTGGCCGAACATGAAAGACCATGATACATTCAGGAACAAACTGTTACAGCTACATCCACAGTGTGCACTACTATTTATTACATAGAAACAAAACAATGCAATGGTAAGCGTCACGATCACTTATAAATCACAGAAATGCGATATATTTGTAATCACTCTTTTTCTCAAGATGGAACAGCAAAAAGACAACGTAGAAGTTGAAATGCAAGTACAGAATGATGGGCACCATGAATTTGAAGATATTGAAATGGATACTCGCAATAGCTATGGTGGGCAATTACCACCATTCGTCGATGCAGTGGAAAACGATGCCCTCAAGCGTATGGAAAAATTGTATTTCCAAATGCATCAAATGAATACGCACAACATGGAAGAGCAAGATGTTGGTTATCAATTTAATCAGGTTGAAATGCAAATAAAGAAGAATGACAATCCTGGATTTGAAGAATTTATTAATCAATACTCACAACTACCAACATTCGTTGATGCAGTGGATAATGAACTGGATGATGGACTGGATGATAATCATGCATCTGAAGTAGAGTCTGATCAATTGGAAGATGATGACGATGAGATTGTATTACAATCCGAAGAACAGTCTGAGGAAATGGTCAACGAAATGTTTAAACTGATGAAAGAAACCTTTGGTATGGATATGACAAAATCGATAATCATAAGAGCTTGTAAGAAGAACGGTATCGAATTATTCAAAACATCCAACAGAGAATCAACTAGCAGCATCCGCAACATTACTGTAGATGGCTTGAAGATTCGAATTGCTAGATTTGCATCTGCTACGCTTGACACAACTCTGGTACTTAATCCCATGAACACAAAGAAGAATATCATTGACAACTGCATGATGGTCAACAGTAAGATCATTTCTGTTGAAGCCGGCAAAGAAGTACTGTACTTCCTTATATTACGTTACACTCCATAGTATGAGGTGGTAGAATCAATCGATGAAAGCTTGAATTTTTTACATATTAACTCGTCCTAATTTTTTGCACATGATATAGAAAACCTTTCTAGAGTTTATTGGATTCATATAAACCGTTTTATAGAAAAGAGAGTTATACTCTGCATCCACACCAGACTGCATGTTAAAGGTCATGAAATTAATTGATGGATTTTCACGTATTAACCTATTCTGAGTTTTTGCGCATTATATAATAACTCTTTTGAGAGTTGATTATTTCAAGTTTTTATTTTTTCAAACAATAAAAACTCCATATGCTCATCATTAGCACAGGATTTGAATCCTGTTTGGTTAGCTGTGTTATATCAAATGTCATAGCAAGGTCTCACACTAAAGGTTTTAGGCTATTCTTAGGTCCTTTGGGTAAATCATGCTAATCATGATTTATAAATCAATTGTTGGGTAGATAGTAAACCTATTTGTATTATAGTTCATCATCATGCTGTAAACTCTAGCATAATGAAAAGTATATAAATGCATCCTTGGGATGCATTCTCAATAAAAGTGTAATTCTTTGGCAGATTCAATTTTACATTGTATTTTGACATAACAACAATAGCAATTAGTGACCACCAAATAAATGCTCAATAATAGCCAATCATTTTTTCTCACCATCATGTGATGTCAAGTTGCTGCATTGTGGTATAATCGCCAGCTTTTTCATGGTACTTGTGATTGATTGCTGATCCAAGCCTTCAAGTCCAATAATCAAATGTATTCGAGCTGTTGTAAGTGCATGATATATACAGCGTAATTTCTTTAACCTTGGGCAATTCAACAGTAATATTCATGACGAGAGTATTCGACATGTCAGCATCGTCAAGATTTACACCAAGCAAAATAATAAGTTTTGACAACGAATGACAGTATTTGCGTCTTTTACCATGGACCACCTTGTGGAGATTTCCACATTAGCAGTATCGACATTGGTAAACTGTGTTGTGTCAAAATATAATGTAAAATTGAACTTGCTAAAGAATTACACTTTTATTGAGAATACATCCTTTGGATGCATTTATATAATTTTCATTATGCTAGGGTCTACCGTATGATGATGAACTATAATACAAATAGCTTTACCATCTACCCAACAAGTGCACAATCTACCCAGAGAACCCAAAAAATAGACCCCAAGAACCCAAAAATAGACTAAGACTGGCAGTGTGAGATCTTGCCAACACATGTGATGTACCATCTTCCATATCTTCATCTGGATTTTTTTTTCCAAAAGTAGCATTAGCAGTTGTACAAGTAGTTTACTGAAATCGTAGACAGTACCTGAAGCAGCTCCTTCGGATGCAATAGTGATGGATGCTTCCGTATCATCCTCTTTATCACTACTTTCGAGAGCTAATCTCCTCTTTTTGTTTGTCTATCGAGGAGTGACAATGGTTTAAGCGATGCTCAACTGCTGTAGCATCTAGTTTGACCAGCAAACGTAGTGAACCCACGTTGACGTCTTGCAGTTAGGCCATCGATATTTTCTTGTCGTTGTTGTTCTTGAAGAACTCTTGCTTTGTGCCTGGTATACAAACCCAGGCACAATGCTGGCTTTAGCAAGAAGCCCAAGTGCCACTTCTACGTGTTGCCGATAAAAAGCATTAGTCACCAGGCTATTCATGTTCAAGTTGTGATGAGAATGAAAATCCCCACAGTGTACCAAATAATGAGTTGTGTCTATTCTTCTTACCTTGCTGCTGGAACACTCTGTTAGTAGACCGTAGTGCCAGCAGAGATCTACAAATACCTGAGCACTACAGTCCATGAATTTCTCGTCGCCGTTTATCGAGCCTTGCAAGAAAGTTTTGAAATACCTTGTAATATTCTTCGGTAGCATAGTGGAAAGCAATCAGAGTTATTGTGGTGGTATTGGGGGCTTTTAGGTGCTTGAGTGAGATGAATGGCAAATTGTTGGGATCTGATTCAAACTGGAAAAGCCTCTTTCTTGTTTGCTATTGGAGCATGCATACATGTTTTATTCGTCCATTGATTGCAACTTGAGCAGAACCTGTTTGTTTGACTCTTGGTATAAATTGAGGTAGTAGTTGAATGATTGAACATTGCCATTGCTTCTTTCGCAAACATATTGTTAAGACCCAGTACTGTTTATAAAGTGATTATCATGACACAAGACATCTACTATACAGCAGTATCAACTACTAACATAACATTTACATATGCTAGTCTACTGGAGCTCGCAACACTAAAAAGGTGCATGATGAGCTGAATAAGCAACCTAGAGAGACGCGAGTCATTGTTTTCATAAAGAGGCCATCCAGCTCCTCTTCTCAGATAGACACCGCTGTCAATGATGCAGCGTCTTTGAGATATCATTGTGCACAGAGACCTGTTAAGAAACAGCTTGCTAGCAACGAGAAAAGTGCTCCACGGGTGGAATTTGACAACAAAGCCGTAATGTACTCGTTTAAGTCTGACAATGAGCCCTGTAGAGCAGCAGACTACAAGTCTTTGAAGCCATGCAAGCGGCCAAGAAAGTAATAATCTCTGCTAATCTCAAAGTTCATCTTGAACAACAATTACAGCAAGGAAAAGACCCAAAACTTTAAAGATACAAACAATACATATACCACGAGTGGAATAAATTGCTTGATGCAACAATATGGAATACTTTGCAGAATTTCAACTGTTCAAACATCATTTTATTATTAACAACTAATTCGCCTTTAGTAATTAATTCCAACTGGTATCAACGATGGCTCCATTACTGCAGGCTTGAATCTACCCAAACTAATATTCGAATCATCAAAATCCACGAACTCTCTGCAATCTTTCATGTTAATTCTAGCACTCAAAATCATCTTGAACATGTCAGGCAAACGGCTGTGTATTTGTAGGATATTCTACTGGACTGAATGCATCATATTTAGTGACAAATGCAGATAAACAATCCAATATTAACAATTTGAGCACTTTATAACTAATATAAAGACCAGAATAATGCAACTTGTGAACCAGACCAAGAGATTTTGACACCATTTTAATCATCATATCTCTCATGACTTGAGGCATCTTGAAACTCTCTTGTTGTGTTTATACCATCCACCAAAGCGCATTTCCACATAACAAATAATCTTTCTCCCACATTGTTGACGAGTGAAATCACTGGGCGACGAATTCAAATCAGCAGCAACCTCCACAGATGCCCTTGCTACACTTTCCCCATACAGTTGTTAATCAAGATCCAATTTCAGCTTACCTGATGCATTTCACTCAAGACCGCATTTCTCTTTTCAATGTCTTGTTCTGTAACATGATGTAAAGGACAAAATCCGCTTTGAATCGATGGAAAGCAATTGTTGTAGACATTTTGAATCCATTTTTGATCAGTGCATGGGTGGCTTCATTCAAATTTGTACCGTGCTAAACTAAGAAAGTTATTTTTCATCTAATTTGGGAAAAAAAAGGTAAACTGCTGCAAAAGCAGCAATTTACACCCACAAGATACTTTCAATAATGACTCAATCAAATTTTCCTTGCCTTGCAGCACAGCCCCAGAAAGCACAGATTTGCCATGGCGCCCAGCTTGCCAAAGCATTTCCAAAGCGACAAATAAAGGCTACCGGCAATTTCCAAACATACAATCACCAACGCAATCATATCATGGCGCCCAGCTTGCCTATACGACCAATGAAAACCTAATGACTACCGGCAATTTCCAAACACAAATCAAAAACATAGTCATATCATGGCGCCCAGCTTGCCAAAGCATTTCCAAAGCGACAAATAAAGGCTACCGGCAATTTCCAAACATACAATCATCAACGCAATCATATCATGGCGCCCAGCTTGCCTATACGACCAATGAAAACCCAATGACTACCGGCAGTTTCCAAACATACAACTATGTTGCCCTGGCAACACTGCAAGAAAAGTAATCATCGACTAGTAAAATGGTGGAAAATATCAAAGTGGGAATAAAGAATTGAGATGAAATTTTTTTACCCTATTTATAATATGGCTTTTGTACGCCCGTCTACTACTACAGCAAAATATACTGTATATTCATTGGTCATATATATTTGTTTGAATTATTTTCTTGGCTACTACCTAAAATCAAACGCTTATCTAAACCGATCCGTTTCGCCAATACATCTTTTTTTTCTCATCACTCCAAACCACAATATAACATCATGTCTGATTATATTAATACCACTAAAATCTCTGCCATAATAAACTCTATCAAAGATGACAATTCCGATGAAATCAATTGGGCAGATTTCATTTTAGCAGCCAAAACCGAACTTCTCAATTCATCAACACAATTCGAGTCATCAGGGAAGATGAAAAAATTCTGGCTGAATCTCGCAAAAAGTAGTACATCACAACTTGGATATAAATTGAACACAGGCACAGACACTTGGAATCTTATTGAAAAAGAATTACAGTTCCCTGATAAGTCAAACCCTACAACGGAATCTACCGCGTCTCAGAAACAATCCAGTAGCTCAGGAAGCTCATTAGGCATTCCAATAACGGATGTTAAAAAAGATGCAGCCTTGTCATTCTTCAACGGTATGCAGAATGGCCATAAATGGAAGTTGAAATCTGGCAGATACGTGGAAGATGTCATGAAAGACTTTGTACAATCATTGGACTTTGAGCAGTAAGTGTCAACTTTAAACATCAAATAGATACCAACGTATAGCGACTAGCCCGTCCATGTACTGTGTACTTGATATGAAGGATGTCAACTGGCATCCATTATTTACAGAAGAAGAAAAGGCAGAAATTGAGTTGATCACCGAAGTAAAGATCGAGTACCCACCTTTACCGATTAAAATGGTCCAATTTTTGAAGAATCTTCCAAAATCGACAAACATCAACGACATTTACAATTACTTGGAAGCTCATCCACTCGACATCAACTCAGAAGCTTCGTTGGTGTACTTGAAATTCTGCTTACAAGCCGCCATTCTACTTATCAAGGACAGCTACTTTCAAAAGAAAAACAAGAAGGAAAGAGACATCTGTTCCAACATCTGGCATATTATCAATAGAGCTTTCAATAACAGTATACTTGATTGCGATATTGAACAAGCATCAAATGCATCCAAAGAAAGTAATTATAGAAAAAGAAAACTGGCAGCAAGTAATTGCATGGAAAGCCAGCGGCACCCTTTAATACCAGATATGACAATATCTCATGGCGAACAGGAGTATGCAATCATTGAAGCATCAAGATCAAACAATGACACCAAAAAAATTCAGGATGGGGGAAAGAAGTGTTCCGAATTAATGGTGCATATTTTTGATCAGCTGCTCGCAACATTCCCAACCCAACAACGCACGATCAAAGTTTATGGCTGTCTGCTGTCTTATTTAAACTGCACTCCTCTGGAATTGTCTAACCCCAAAGGCTATGTAAGAGTTTTCAAGCAAGGTGACTTCTTGAAACATCCAGAATCATCGTTGCATTTCAGAGCAAGAATGCCTGAATTGTTAGCACATATTTGGCAATTCAGACTTGCAATTGAAAAAGTCTGTAACTCAATCGCTCAAGCAGAAAATGAGCAAAGTCAATTTACTTGATTTTTTTCGAGTTGTATATATCATCATAACATAATAAATGTTCAGTCCTTAGACACTTTACAGTACAACCCTAATATGGAACCTGAGTTTCAAGGCATCTATCAGACCTGGCTCATATGAGAATAATGATTTTACAATCAATCAACAAAAACCACTGTTATTTCTGCCCTCTTTCCTCTGCTCAATGCTACCAACGTTTTCTTTGAACGACGGCTCGGAGCCTCAGAGATTTCACTACTTACTGCAGACATTTTATGCAACCCATGCATTGTCAATGTCCAGACTAACGTTATTAAATATGGAATGCAATAAAATATCATTATGAACGATATAGAAGGCAATAAAATATCATCATAAACGATAGTGCTATAACCTGCCACCTACTTTCTATTCGCTTCAAGGGCATTTACTACTGTATTGCCTTATGAACAGGGCATGAGTTTTTCAGCTGGCCCCACCAGCCAAAATTAATTCAAACCCAGAATCATAGTCTGTTCCAGATTGGACAAATTTTGGTGATTCTGGACTCGATCGAGCTATTTTTGCAGATTCGACTTAGTGAAGTATGATAATCACCCCATGCTTCCTTAAGCTTTCCTGGAGTATTTTTCAAGGCGCTTCCAATGGTACCAAGTTATATAGATGTTTTGAATACACTTATTGAATGATTTGTAAAAATATGAAAAGAGGTTTCTGGCCAAAATGTCGAAATTTTACATATCAAAGTCCCACAAGGATGATTTCAGAGGTTGCTTTGGATTGATAGAAACATTTTGATTTAAGATATACCATAGTAAAAATCTTCATTTTCAAGGTGAAAAATGTGATCGTTTGGTTTTCGATGAAAATCATGAGGGGTACCTCATGCTTTTTAGTCGATTTTTGACCATGTTTTATGGGTCTTCAAAAAGTTGAGCAAAAGTGTCAGAAAGTAACTGCCAGATGAAAGCAACCATTTGGGGCTATTCTGACGATCTAAAACGGCCTTGAACGCAAGAAAATGCAGCTCAAATGCACTCATATTTTGCTGTATTAGGGACACTAAGGACTAAAAAGTGGGAATGCCAGTATGCTGCTTGCCCGTATATGAAGTAGCTATGTGTATATGGATGTAAAACATCACATAAGAATCAGATCCACAGATAATATGAAGGGTGACTAAGTGTAAGTGGAGGGTCAAAATGAAAGTAGCAGTATTTTGATAAAATACGCAAGAGCAATCAGTAGCACGGGCTGCCGCTGCGCAGGTTGGTTCTCACCGAAGCGAAGCGTAGGTCAGGAAACCACTCGAAGTGTTGAAAGGCTCGTAGTTTATAATAAGATATCCAGTTGTCCTAAAAAAATTTCCCACATGAAAATCATCATCGCAATGTCTCTTTTAGGATCTGCCCAACCTTGATTGCTGACAAGATTTCTATTACATAAATTACATTTGTTCTGGTTTGGAGTTTAATCTCCCACGCTATGACACAAGAACGTTTTTGTTTGTCTAATCTGCATAAATCAACCAAAATATGTCGATTATTGGTAGACCACTGCACTATTGGCAAAAGCTTTATTTCTACAATTGAAAAATAATTTTGTGATGTTACAATACCAAGTTTGTCCTGTAAGCAACTAAACATTGACGCAAGCGAACAAACATGATGCCATGTGCATCAAAAGCAACACACACACAGACACATAAATCAACAAAATATCACAGATCAACGTTTAATACCACACTTTATTAACACCTGAAATCAAACATGTAAATCATTACCATGTAATTCATTCACATACTTTACAAATTGTTTATAATGCCTATCTCACAACATGAACAATCTGGACACGCATTTCCCATACCCTCATACATACTCGAGTTTTTCTTCATGTGGCATATTAAATCTATCACTTCCATTAGGTACGCAATATATTGATTATTGGCCTTGATGATCTAATTGCAAACCATATTCGATGCTACGTCTGTACAAGAAATGCTGACAACATTTTCTGCCAACAAAGCAAACAATTCTAGGATGCAATCTCTCAATCGTCATTATCAACTGTTGCTTTCCTTCCATCATCTCTTGTTGACCCAAGTCTTTTTCTGATCTTGTTGGTCTCGTGCAGTAATTCACGCAATGCACCCCTTTCTCCTCCATCGCCTCCACACTGGTCAATGATTGATCAAAAAAATTCGCTTCGTTCAATAGCTTTAAGAACTGTTCTTGCTGTATTGCAACACATTAGCCAATGGCTCACGAATGCTAGGATTGACCCCCACAAAGAGAATGAAACAATTGTATTCCATGTTGAACAATGATGAAGAAAAAGCAGACGCGAGAAAAAAAAAAGGCTCGAAAAACACGATTCAGGTACAAATATCCTTTTTTGGCAGTCCATTTTTTCTCACCTTCACTGTCATTCTTCTAACTAGTGTAACTCTTCTTCCCCTCTTTAACATACAATGACATCTTATTCAGTGCCCAGTTCAGTATTAGCGCAACAGCAAAGCATCACTTGCACTGTTGTGCGTGCAGTTATCGATGTCAATACTGCTCATCCAGTAACAAACCAAGATCAAACAAATCCAACATTCCACGTGCTTGCTCATTTGAATACATTGATCAATACTGTTGCTTTAAGAATACCATATGACACATTACAGCAAGCAATGAGAGACTTTTGTACGGCATGTGGAATGGATTTTAACCGTCTTAGTCTACAAGAAAAGAAAGACTTGAACAAGCAACACTTACAGATTACAGCCACAGGTGAATTAATACCAACCTTGGAGTACAATCCATTCAAAGTGCTAGCACCATCAAATAAAATTCAGGTAAACCAGTTTCAAATACACACAGACTCTTTGCCCTTTGAAAGATTAGGTGATATACCTAGAGCACGCACAGGCCGATTTCACAATTTCTTTGCTGAAGATGAAGAATTGGAACAAACATATGAGTTTGACATCCCTGATGCTGTATCTGACGACTTTGAAGAATTTGAAACGAGTGAAAGAAAACAATCCACAGAATCTGATGCCATTAACATAAGTCGAGATCCATTGAGCACTGAAGCAGGCACCCACGATGACCACATTATCATTGATGATGATTCTGACAATCATATAACCCTTAATGATGATACGAACAATATAAATGTCTCAACAGCTCCAGAAGATATGGATCCCAATGTGCAAGGATCAACAGAAGACTATACCTTTTTAAACGACGCTGACTCCATTTCTAGCTCTGCCACTCCTACTCAAGCAACAGTTAATAGACATGAAGTGTTTGAAGCAGAAGGGTTTCTGGATCAACTGTTGCATACTTTTAGTTTCGCCTCTGTGAATGATCCTCCTACTGCACCATCATCTTTTGCAAACTCTCCTTCTGGGCCTGCAGTAGCATCACAACAATCCATTATTGAGCCTCATGATATTCAAGCTAATGATGTTCTTGATACTGAAACAGTATCGCCACAGCCACACAGTGATGTTCCTGCTACACAAACAGCATTCCAACAAGCAGATGATAATTTCAGCATCCCTGACAGACCCTCTAATTGATATAACCATTTTTTTTTACTGTCTATTGGTTGTTTAAAATCTGCTTGATATGCCAGATTTTTTTTATCTCTGATTTGAAATGTCTACAGCTACAGCCCGCAGGGCGACACCATCGCCGAGCGTAGCGAGATTGCAACTAACTCAGCATTTGGTAATACTAGTATAAAAGGGTTTTACCTTTGCCAAACAAAGGTGCAAAACAATAGTGTTTAAGCAGTAAATTTGGTTACTCATTTCCATTGTTATAAGCTTACCAGCAACATAATGTATCAAAATTAGCATGAATTAGTCTTACCAAAATCAATATGTCTCCTGTTCAAATTAGAAGTTGCACCAGCTGCAGAATTGCCCTTCCAGAAGACTTCAGCTACCAGAAATGTGATTCATGAAGTGTAAATAAAAGCCATAAAGCAAAAATACAGCCAAATTTGACAACTTTCTAGCCTTCGTATCTTGACATGTAGACCTTTTTGAGCTACCGGAATAACGCCAAACAATTGTGCTTGAGTAGTAGTAATTTCCTGGCACCTTTGCTCAACTTTTTGAAGACCCAAAAAACATGGTCAAAAATCGACTAAAAAGCATGAGGTACCCCTCATGATTTTCATCGAAAACCAAACGATCACATTTTTCACCTTGAAAATGAAGACTTTTACTATGGTATATCTTAAATCAAAATGTTTATCTCAACCCAAAGCAACTTTTGAAACCATTTTTATGAGGTCTTTATATGCAAAATTTCGACATTTTGGCCAAAAACCTTATTTCAATTTTTTTGGAATTGCTCAATAAGTTCAGTCAAAACACTTACTACAGTTAGCAACACTGGAAGCACCTTGAAAAGTACTCTAAGAATGCATTAGGAAGCGTAGGGTGATCATCACAGTTTATATAGTCGAATATCATAAAATGCATTAACGAAGTCGAAAAAACACAAGACCTGTCCAATCCTAAACAGAAAAAAAACAAGCTGAGCTTGAATTGTTGCTGGTGGTGGCATTGCTGCTGGCTGAACTAAATGCCTTTCTGTTGATGACAATGACGATTGCGATGCTGATTAAATGGGGATCATGGAATTGAAAGGACAATTGCTTAGCGCAAATACTTTTTTTTTGGGACGCTTTGCCTCATGAAGGTATCTTTTGCAATGATAATATCTCAAAAAAGTCGCTGTAGATCCTACGCAAGCCCTGTATTTACTTATGGCCAGCTTTATGTCGCCATCTTATTAAGAGCATCAACAGCAGTGAATGATATGACAATTCTATTATTAGAAAATGGCGATTGTGATGTACAAATGCTGCATAAAATTTGAATTTCTTTCGCATTGTCCCAATAATAGGCTTTGTTTGATATCAGTGTAAGCAAAAAGGATGCTGAGGGAGATACCTCCTCTCTTCCTCCTGGTGTCTCTAATACACTATAACCTTTATTATTATTATTATTATTATTATTACTAATAATGAATTGTTTAAAATCTACCTGTTATACCAAAAAAAAAATATATCTGATTTAAAGTGTCTTTGGCGAGAGCCCACAGGACGACGCCATCATCGAGCGTAGCAAGATTGACTGGCTAGTATAATATACTGAACACAAATGTGGGCGATGATGGCATGGAAAAAGATCGACAGCGATCAAGGTTAGTAAAAAGTATACTTCGGTGCATCACCTTATATTGACCTGACGTTATTATGAGCAGATGAAGACGGGCAAAGTAGATCAAACCCATGATGATAAGAATAAACATCAAGCTACTCAAGAAGCCATTCAACCCCAGCAAAATACAATCATCGCTGACACCATTATCACAAAAGCTCAAAATACCTTTATCATGAACGACACGATCACCAAACTGCAAAAACCACTGGATAAACAGATTATGAGAGAGATAATGATGGAAGCTTGCAATTGACATGGTATTCCTTCATGCAGTTGCGTGACACAATGGATGGCTGCCAAACTGAACCACAACCGAATTTGCGTTAACTTATCTATTTATCATTAAGGCCACCAAAATCAATTACTGACAATAAAGCTGTAATGTTTGATTCGAGGATGTAGAGATTTGGCATTGATTCCAGTAGTTGCCATTTCAGCAATCAACCTCCGCCAAGTCATTTTGCTTACTAGCAAAAGTTTTTGTTTGTTTTGAGGTTTTATTCTTCTTTTACTTATATACACAAGTATTCAAAGAACACTATGAACAAAGGCGGGACAAAAAAATTCCAGTTTGGGTTTCCAAGCAAAAAATCGACTGCATCTTTGCTAGCCAAATCAGCATCAGATACAACCGTAGAAGCCAAGAGAAAAGCACCCGAATCAGCAACACAAGATAAGGACACAGTAAAGAAGCCTAGAGCCCTAGTGGTGGATGACGACGAGGACGAGTTTCTGGCGAGTGCTGGTATTGGTAAAATGGACCATAATGTGTAGTAGTATACCCATGCTTATTCTTGTGCTCTTACTAGAAGTCAAGTCGACTGCTCCAATGGCTGTGGTTGACAGTGCAAACAACGATGCTGCTGTTGAGGATGAAGAGGAGGATCCATTGGATGCATTCATGGCTGATATAAGCGAGAAAGCCAAAACTACAAGAGCAGAACCCAAAGTATGATGTACGATGATATAGACACATATGGCTTGCTAAATGACAATGCTATAGATTCGCAGAGATGACATTGAGGAAGAGGACGAATTAGAGAGTTATGTGCGTCATATGAAGGAGAAGGGTGTCGTGGTGGGCACGTCCAATCAGCCTATGCCAGTGTATGATGAGGTATATAGAAATACGGCTACAGTTGATGACAGCGCTAAACGGATGTGATTGTAGAATGCCAATTCAGACGACGAGGTTTATGCAACTGCAGCAGCTGTGGATGCCCAACTGCAGCAACTCGAATACGATTCAGATCAAGAGGCTAGCAACAGCAACAACGCTGCACCTACAAAGAAGGAAATCGAACCTCTGCCTCGCGTAGATCACGATACCATTGATTACATTGACATTGAAAAAAACTTTTATGAGGAACATGCCGACATCACAGCACTAGACGACGCTCAGGTGCAAAAGATCCGTGCAGAGCTTGGACTTCATGTCACTGGTCATGGTGTTGCAAAGCCTTGTGTCAGTTTTGCTCACTTTGGGTTTGATCAGGAACTGCTGGACGCAGTGATCAAAGCAGGCTATACAGAACCATCAGCTATTCAGAGACAGGCGATTCCTGTGGCAATGGAGGGCCGTGATATCATTGGCATTGCAAAGACTGGATCTGGAAAAACAGCCGCTTTTGTGCTGCCCATGTTGATTCACATCATGGATCAACAGGAGTTGGTCAAAGGCGATGGACCCATTGGACTGATACTGGCCCCTACTCGTGAGTTGGCTGTTCAGATATACCAGGAAGCCAGAAAGTTTGCCAAAGCATACGGACTCAAGTACATACCGAGTATTTCCAGCCGAGAAAAAAAAAGCTTTCTGATACTCATTTTCTTTTTTTTTTACATCTTTAGAGTGGCAGCGGTGTATGGTGGATCGTCCAAGTTGGAGCAGTTCAAGGACCTTCGCAGTGGCACCGTCGAGATCCTCGTAGCTACGCCTGGCAGATTGATTGATATGATCAAAATGAAGGCAACCAATTTGAAGCGAGTGAGCTATCTTGTGTTGGATGAAGCTGACCGTATGTTTGATCTTGGCTTTGGTGAGTAGAGTCTGCGAATGGGGTCCGTTGTACAGCACTAACGCGCAGCGTCATAGAACCCCAAGTCAGATCTATTTGCGACAATGTTCGACCTGATAGACAAAGTATGTAGTATATAAATATATGAATAGCATGTTACATTCTGCTTACATGATCTACGCACACAATCACACTCCACAACCGCACGAAAATTCAGCCTTGCTCTTCAGCGCAACATTTCAAAAACGCATCGAATTCCTGGCTCGCAGTGTGACATCAGACCCTATTCGCATCAATGTTGGCACTACTGGTCAAGCCAACGAAGACATTACGCAAATAGTACAAGTCTTTGAGCAGGAAGAGATGAAATGGGATTGGCTGATTCGCCATTTGACTGGATTCTGTGTGGGTACGTATTTTCTGAACGGCAGCATGGCGTGTAGATGAGGCGACTGATCGTTGCTGATAGAGGGCAGTGTCATTATTTTTGTGGGCAGAAAAGACGCCGTAGACATCTTGTCTGGCAATCTCCAAAAGTCCAATTTTGATTGTAAGAAGCCATCCATGAGGCCACATCAAGCCAAATCTCACGTTACATCATAGGCGTCGCTTTACACGGTGATTTGCAGCAGTTTGAAAGAGAGAAAGTGCTGCGAGACTTCAAGGCCAACAAGGTCAAGGTGTTGGTGTCCACTGATGTGGCAGCAAGAGGCTTGGATATCAAGACGGTCAAGACGGTCATCAATTTTGACGTTGCTCGCGACATTGATTCGCATACACATCGCGTTGGAAGAACGGGTCGCGCAGGAGAAAAGGGCACTGCTTTCACCTTGATCACACAAAAGGAAGATAGATTTGCTGGTGAATTGGTAACCCATTTGGAGACTTCAGGCCAAGTGGTACCACCGGAATTGCTTAGTTTGGCCATGAAGAACTCGAGATTCAGAGATTATAGAAGCAACAGAGGAGGAAGACGCGGTGGCCGAGGTGGCCGAGGTGGCCGTGGTGGCCGTGGTCGTGGCCGTGGTCATCAAGACAGAGGCAAGGGATCTTTCAATGCCAATTTAGAGCCCATGCGATTCCAGAGATCAAGCACAGGCGGATTAGGAGCAGGAGCAGGAGGAGCACCGCCATCATGGGCCTCCTAAATTAAATGTTTAGCTCGGCGCTACAATGGAGACCAGCAAAAGCAGAATCTATTTTTGGGTAAACTATGCTCTCCTTTACATCTCTTCCATCAACAAGAACACTTGTCTATTCACTATGGACAACACAGGGATATGTGTTTTAGCCGTAGCTTGATGTCCATGTGGCCCATGTGTACAATACATTAAATAAAGAAATTGAAAGAAAGAAAAAAAAGACCATATGCAAAAGTAACAAGCCAATTAATTAGAAATTCTAAAATTAACATTCGGATCCCCTTTTTGTTATATTGCCTCTCATTTCATTATTTAACCTTTCTTTCCTTTTCTCCTCCCCCTTTTAGTGTGTGTATCCTTCACAACATGGCAAATGAAGGCAGGTCTCCCACCACAACCACCACGATCAATACATCCTCGTTGCAACAACAGGCTCCTCCCCCACCGTATTCGCTGAATGACTACCTGGAATCACCCGCCTCGCCCTTGTCGTATGCATCATCTTCTTCATCATCACCCCATCCATTGATGTCGAGCCAGTTGATGGAGCAATCAATACAGCAGGTAAGCTTTCTGGGCTGTTGGAAATCCATCGTCATTGACGCTTCTTTTGTGTGCAGACACCCAATGTGTCGTCATTGCAGCTCAAGATGATAACCTCGAGTTCAGATCATTGGCAGTCGACACCCTACGAATGCAGCTGTGTATTGGAGGACAGGTTCCTATTGTTGGGGTATCACGAAGGCGTGCAATTGTTGGATTTGCACAGGATGGCAGAGAAACCAAAGACGATTATATGGATCAGAGCAAGGAAGATGGTGGTGGTAGAGTCATGTCGCATTGTGCTCATCTTGGCGGGCCGATACAAGCAGGTACGATGTTACTCATACGACGCTTTGTTGAGGCTGATTTACGCTGTGCTGCGTCTGGATTGGGACCAGCGACGCGACATCACCTTTGATGTGCCAACATGTCAGCAATGGGAGCATGTCGCTACACAGACGGGCAAAGTGCCTGACGACAACAATGCAGCAGCCAATGTGGATGCCACTGCGCTAGACACACCCAACCAGACCATTCTGAACTTCAAGGAACGCATTGCCAAGATACGAGACGACAGGGCAACAGCAAGCACCACAGCAGCAAGTGCTCATACAACCACACACGAAGAAAACCATCTGATATTGAATCCAGGTCTGACAAAACCTTATTATGTGTATAAGAAGATCGTTCTTCAGGACTTGTATTATAAACTGCCAGACTCTCGTGATGCATTGGGTATACAGACATATCAGACAAGCACCTACGTCTTTGCTGCTATAAGACACCGCGACAAAATTGTACTCTGGCAGCGAAAAAGAGATCACCCTTTGCGGCCCTTTTATCGACTCAAAGTATTCTGGATTCCCATGGAGGCACGAGCTATTTCATTTGCGGATGATCGTAGCACCTTACGCCACATTATTGCAGTGTTTCCCAATGAGGCTACAGCCATCGAATTGAGAGACTCCAAAGTGCAGACTGTCCCAATTGATCCAACACTGGAGCGCATCTACCAAACCACTTGGATAAGAGATCAGTACGAGCACCAGCTAAATAGCCAGAAATCACCCACCAGCTCGCCTATACCCACCTCGACCTCTATGCCCACATCGCTCTTTCTGAGATACCAACAAGCACCAACGTCTGACCACAATGATACCACGAGCGCATCTCCACAATCCTTGTCCTTTCCAACACTGCCGGCCAGTCTCTCTGCTCCTCCCATTCAATGGACATCGCTAGTACAACTCCCATTCTACCCCGATTCCCTTCCAGCAACGACACTAACAACCGAATACTCGATACCCCCCTCCTACTCGACTGTTGTTACATCGCTGCCCTCACATGGACCACCTGATCCAGTAGCGCTGCCCTCTGCTGGAGCACCTCAATTATTCTTTGCAACTCTGGGAAAGCAGAGCTACATAATCGACCTCGGTGGATCACTGTTCTCGACACAAGTGTATCGATGGTCTGAAGTGCCCACACATGTCGAGTTTGTCCAATTGGATGTCAATGTCAACGATTGGTGTGTGATTGGATTTGGATCAGAAACAGTAGAGATCATTCATGTCAAGACAGCACAGACAGTGCAGCGGGTGATGCATGGCGTGCCTGTCAAGTTTCTGGGAAGGTGGGATGCGTCTTTGCCCAGAGAAGGTAAAAAGAACAAGCTTGTCTTCAAGTCCATTTTCTGGAGTTGTGCAGCGAATGATAGAACACACGTTTACATGCTCAAAGGCGAATAAAATCACTTTATTTATTTACCATCACAAGTTGTTCTTGGCGTTGTGTATCCAGTACCATTTGGCATTCAAGATCTTGACGTAGTTTTCAGGGATGAACGCGTGGCTCTCCAGTGTCTTGGCTTTCCCATCCTTGTTCAGCTTATGCAAATGGAGCACAATGCCACGAGCAGCTGGAATGTGTAGAGATTCGGGATATCCCTTATACAAGGTCTCGACAATCTCCATCGGTGTCCAGCCCTGTTCCAGCGTGCCTTCCTTTGTCAATAATTGCACCACTTGCTGCTCCCTCTCCAAACGATGATCCACGTACTCTTGAATCTTGGCAGTGCCTTGCTCCACAACAGGACCGTGGCCAGGATACAATTGCTTGGGTTGAAATGTCACTAGGCGCTGCAGTCCAGCAATGTATTCTGACAAATCATCAAACACAGCTGTGCCTTGACCCAGCACACAATCTGCAGTGAACAGAGCTTCTTCTTCCTCGAGCAAAAAAGTACAATGATCCTTGGTATGTCCAGGCGTATAAATGACTCGCAATGTGGTGTCGTGTGCTCTGAAAACTTGATTGTCCACTAGCGAATTAATGCTGACATGTGTGGGAAATCGATCCATATGATCCACATGATGGCCTTGAGGGATAGCAGTAAACTTGTGTACCTGGATCTCTTTGTTGGGATTCAGGGTGCTTGAATTGAGAATGTCCTCCAATCCGCCCCAATGATCACTGTGTCCATGGCTGATGATGATGTCTGAAATGTAAGCATCGGATTGAATGTCTCGTAGAGATGTCTCAAGGTGCGGCAAGTAATCAGGCTTGCCTTCTCCACAATCCAGCAGTATCTTTTGTGCACCAGCGCCGAGTAGATACGTGTTGGTGCCTTGCAAAGTAAATTTGCCTGGGTTCAAGCCTAGCACTCTCCAAACACGACTGGATAATTGAGAGAATTTGGGTAGAGTTACTAGTACTTCTGTCATTGTAGAATATAGTTGCGGTGGGAAAACAAGAGGAAAAGAGAGTATAAATACGAAATGCGTCAAGCGTATGAGGTAATCTCGGCGGAAGGGAATTTGTCCATTATTTTCATATGCAAAACCTCGACATTATTAGCAGACAGTCAGAAATCGCGCACGACTCAGGTTTTCTCAGTTAGTGCACAGTACGTGTCTGTGTTGTCATTGCAATTGTTTGTTCGATTTTATTAGCGAATATGGCACCATCTTCTTGAGAATTTGCTCTTGACACCAAAAAACGGCACATTCAAATGCCGTTCAGGGATGCCTGTGTGCATGCCAAAGCGTGGAAATCTCCCAAAATCAACTATTTAGAATGACCAATATCCGGCTTCTCGCTATCAATAGGTGTAGATGGTGTTACAATAGAAGGAACATGCACATCTGGTGGCCATACTTTGCTGTGATCAGTGGTAACATAAGTGCTGCTGGAATCAGCTCTAGAGGAACCGGCATTTCCAGAGGCATGATTGACGCCAGTTAATAACACCTTGGGAGGAGATGCAGGTGGGTTAATATCATGATCATTTGACAGGTTGGCCGGATCTCCAGTTCGACATGTTGTGTATCCTGGTAATTGAGTGATGTCCACAGGACCCGTTGAAGTTACTGGTATGCTCTGAACATCCATATCGTGTTTAGAGATACCAGAAGCAGCTGTAATTTCATTGATGGAAGTAACGTCCCAGTAAGTCGGATAGGTGTCTTTCTCTGCCTTCTTTTGTTTTTGGCGTCTAAAGAAGAGGAATCCTGCAATAAGCGCAATCTAGCACAGAGGTTAGATATATCACATTTGAGACTCTGCGCAGCTTACCACAGCAATGATGCCAACAACGATGCCTGCAATTGCACCTCCTGAAAGCCCATTAGAAACCGTATCCTGCATTTTGTCACTTGAAGAGGATCCCCCAGTAGTAGTGCTATTGCCACCAGTAGAGGTACCATTGCCATTGACACCATCAATGGAAGACACCGCACCATTGGCATAGTAGGTTGCATCCCAGGAGTAAGTATCTGTATTCAATACATGAAAGTCAGCTGTCGCCAAGAGTGTGCTATCAATGCCAAACAAGATGAACAATGATGCATTGCGTAAAACAGCTAATAAATACATGTTAGCGCTACAGCCTGGATCAGCTATCTTGTTGATGCACTACCTGAATGTCCAAATCGCGGGCCTGCTCCAGTTGCTGCGCCAGATGAGATGCTTATGGGTTGAAACGTGTTGGCAGTCGGGTTGTATAGATGAAGATAATCACTAATCGGAATGCGATCTATAATGTGTAAGATGACATGGATGCCTTTATAGATGGGGGGGGGGAGAAACACTTACTGCCAACACTATCAGGGCCAGCCCCGCCATAAATAATGAAGTTGCCAGTGCTGGGAACTACCACACAGGGTTAAGCTCATGTCTATACTGGGTTGACTAGGATTACCTACTTAGCGTTGCGGTGTGAGACATACGATTGGAGGGCGGGCTACTGGAGGTTGCCGTCTTTTGTTCCCAAATCGATGTATCCGTGTGGTAGATCAATACGTTTGTAAATGTTGAATAAGGACGAGTATATACACCTGTAGCGGGGTCTCGTACAATATCACGACCTCCAAAATAGTAGATCAATTTACCGGATTGATCTGTTGTTGCCGTATGTCCATATCGCGGGTTGCCTGGTGCTACTGATGCTGCTTGAAGGCTCCATTTGGCAGTCTTTAGGCATGATCGTTAGCTGACATTCAGTGATAGATTGAGATGCGCCTACCTGTGCAGTAATAGAGAGCTTTGCGGTGCCATTGAATGTAGGCAGTAGGTTTCCAATGATACTATATGCATATTTAATTTCACACTGGGAATAAGGTTATTTTGCTGAACTTACGCTGCGCCTCCCCAAAACACAACTGTATTATCAACACCGAGTGCACCTGACCCATAGTAACTACAAAATGTTGATTAAGAAGCTTTGATGTGTTACTATAGTGTGGTATATGTACTTTTGTGGTATGGACGAAGTATTTGAGATTGTTTCCCACTGGTTTGTATCCGCATGGTAGATCACTGTTTGATTTTTCATGTAGTTATAGTTGTTGTTGACACCAGTGCCGCCATTGATCAGCACAGCTGTATCTGATAGCTTGACACTGACGTACGCCGATGTTGCTTCGGTGATAAAATTAGGAGGATCGACGACTTTTGTCCAGGATGTGAGGCTGCTGGCTACAGTCAAGTCTTTGGATACATCCAGATAGTAATGATCTGCCAAGGGTGTGATTTCTTGATTCACTACTTTGGCATAACCGCCTGAATAGCAATAAATCCGTGTGTTGTTTAGCAGTAATTGACATCCTATGCAACGCAATAATGAATTTGCAAACTAAACAGATCAGGTACATATTGAGTAGAATACATACCCGAGTTGTATCTAATGTAAGGTTGCTCAGCAATGGCAGACATCGCAGCCAAAGAGACGAGCAAGAATGTAGCAAGCATCATTGGTGGTTTATTAACAACTCTTTCAAAAAAAAAGTGTGTGTGTGTGTGAGAGAGAGAGAGAGAGAGAGAGAGAGAAAGAAAAGAAAAAGGATTAGTACGCAAAGACTATGGAAAATATAGGGTAAGAGAGAGAATGATTTACCCTAGTATTATTATACTAATGCCTGGATCAATCATTTCATTCTACAAAAACTTGGTTATGTTGTAATACCGTCAATTTAGCACTGTCATACTCAATAACGACATTTGGTCTTTCAAGGTGCTTGATTCAAGATAAGAGTCTACTCCATCTTGTGTATATGAGTGTCGGTAGCGACAGACCCCCCTCCCTCCCCTTCCTTGACTTGAACAGAGCCGTATGTGGTGATGGCAGAATCTTGTGTCGTATCAATGTCTCCTTACTTGACGTTAAACGGGTACACCAAGTATGGTAAATGTGTAGAAGGTTAGATTTCATACAGGTAGTACCATGCAATTTGATGGTGTCACATTGCATTAGTTTAAAAAGAAGCTAAATGAGCATCCTGATCAACTCGATTGCATAACAAGAAATCAAGCACATCTGTGCTTGTACACAAAATTCTGAAACTTATGTTTATTGGCAATATTATCCTTTGTCTGTGCCAAGGTTTCTGGTATTGACATGTCGATTCAACTCATACACTATTTGATCTTTGCCAATGTCAACGGTATTATCAACTTAGCCACCTCTGCTCGCCTTTACTTGCCTTTGTTCTTTCTCTTGGTAAGCTCTTTTGACAGACGCTGATCTGGGTACTCCTCCTCTTTGCTGTCGTTCTCTCTGCTGATGAAACTTTGAATCCTCTCGTTGCTCACGATAATCAGCCTGCATTACTATTTTTGCAGCACTTTGAGCTTCTCTTCTAGTAGCAACTACTCCAAAAGGGTATATCTCTTACTCAGTATTAACCAGCTCTCTCAATTCTGCAGGCACCTCTGGCTCTTTCTCAAAAACATGAGCATGCTCTACATACCGATAAACGTGTGTTCAGTATAGGTTGGCGCATGCTGAAATTGGGCACACCAGAAAAGCCGTCATACATATTTATCAGTATGGCAGTATTGGCTTCACTTTTTTCAGGGATTTTGACGCCTGGCCATCTTGCATCTCGCATTCGACTCAAAGTATCTACATGTGGCAAATTCATTATCATACCTGAGTAATGAAGTGCAGGTTCCTCGTGCTGAATGAATGCCTGTACAACCGCACGACCACCCTCTCGCATGGCTGCTCTACCAGCACACTAATCACTCAATACAGAATCACATTGCGTTGGTCATTGCCATCCTAATTATCGGCCATTTGCATGAAGATGACCTGGCTTATTCAGTTATAATATATAGAAAAAGAAAGAAAGCTAGAACAATTGATTTGACAGCCCTTTTATTTCTGCCTTTTCGGAAGCATTATTGCCCATCATCGTCAATCAAATAAGCTTTTTATCTACCCCACAATCTCGGGTGAAATAAGCTTTTGCCTAATATGGAAGTTTACCCTACACATATTTTATGGAGGCAAACCAAGCTGACTGGCGATAACAGATACAAAATTGCATTTTAATGCACAATGTGCTTTATAAGGGCTCTCAAAGACATTACTTGCCTTCAGGATAAGACTGGGCATTGACATTATTATCATTGATTTTGTCAGCAAAATTAATTAAAACTCAGGCGTGAATTTTCGTTTAGAATCGGTCAGATTGGATCAATTTGCGACTCGATTAATCTACTTTGTGAGATTCGACTATATAGTCTGTGGTGATCGCTCCATACTATCTAATGCATTCTTGGAGTACTTTTCGAGGCGCATCCAATGGTGCTAAACACAAGAGACATTTTGATTGAACTTTTCGAGCAATTCCAAGAAATATGAAATGAGGTTTCTGGCGAAAATGTCAAGATTTTACATATCAGGATCACACAAACGTCTTTTCAAGGGTTGCTTTGGATCGATAGCAACACTTTGATGTAATACATACCATAGTAAAAGTCTTTGTTTTTGAGGTGAAAAACGCGATCGTTTGATTTTCGATGAAAATCATGAGGTACCCCTCATGCTTTTTGGTCGATTTTTAGCCATGTTTTTTTGGGCCCTAAAAAGTCGAGCAAAGGTGTCAGACGGTTACTGCAGGATGAAAGGGATTGTTTGGAGCTATTTTGGCGGTCTAAAATGGGGTTTATCGCGAGAAACCGCGGCTCGCAGGTTTCCAAATTATGCTGCGATTTGCATCATTTTGAGCAATAAGAGGCAGTGAAAGTGTGCTGTATACTCGTATATGAATTGTTCTCAATAAAATCTATTTGCTCCTTGAATTACCGTTTGTGGGTGATTGTCTTGTAAAGAATGAGAAGCGCCCTCAATGACAGTGAACCATTGAACGTATAGAGCGTGCTCTTCAGAAAACCAGAAGCAGTCAGTATAGTATAGTAAGTACACAACCTGGACTGATCGTTGATTTGATCCATCTCAAAATCGCCAATGAGAACATGCTTATACAAAGTACCCTGCTTTATTGCAGGGTCTAAAGGTTTTCAGTGAAAACATGCCCTTGAGATAAATTCCTTGGTTCTTATACTGCTCAGAAGAGTGCCACAATATTCCTTTGTGCTATGGGGACCTTTACCAATGACTGGAGCATCACTTTTACTGGAGTAGGCTGATACAAACATGTCGATGCTATTGATTTTCTGATTTTCATCATAACGCAAGACAGCTATAGCTTTTTACAACAAAACAAACCTCTAGGATCAGTAGCTATTTACGTTCGCATGAAGGTAATGAATTCAGAAAAGGCCTTTAGGCCTGGTGTTCTCCTTTTCATATTATCCTGATGCTGTTTTTCCAACAAATCGACAAAAATGGCAGTGGCAGCCAGAGTTGGAATAGTTGTCATACTATCAATGTTATTATATCGTCTTACGGAAATGCAATATAGCAAAGCAGCTTCGAAATCATCAGTAGAAAATGCGAATCACGATAACTTGTCTCCATTGTAATGGAAGCCAAGCATAAGAAGGGCTTATTGAAGTTCATTCAACTATTGGAGCAGCAACTAGAGTAGCCACAACAACAGCAGCAGGAAGAAGAAGAAGGTGTTGCCCAAGCAGTTGAGAAGATCTGCAAGATTAACGATGAGAAGAAATAATTAGACTGATAATAAAAACATTGATATTGACAAAACATGATGATTGTCTATTTAAATCCAAATGCTTATTAAAGACTTGATTGTGTTTGCTATTAATGGGCGTTGATGCTGAGCTAAGTGATATATATATATTGTTTCCAACCTGAAGATGTGCAGGTTAAGAGAACCTTTTCCGTATATATCAGTCTTTCTTGTATTAAAGCAAAGTGACAAGCCTTGGCCGACTTCATCAGCGACATGATTGAAGCCATTTAAAGGAAAAAAAAACAAGATTTTCAGTACATACTTTCAGAACAGACTGACACAGACTCGCCTTGAGATAGCCTTGATAGCAAAGAGAGAGAAGGTCGTCTTAGAAAGACTGCAGCCACAGCAAATACAGCTATAAGATTCTAGAACAAGAGCGGCGAGAAGCTTCAGAGAATCAAGGGCTATTTTTTAAATCATTGTATCATATGATAAATCTAAACAATCAGTGAGTCAATAAGAAAAGTTTGCATCAGCTCATATGCCTCATACTATCCTCCTCAGAATTGATTCATGCCTTCGCACTATCCGTTTCAATGTCCCAGTGTTTCACTACTATTGCGTGGTCAGAGATAAAATTCAATAATTCCCTTCAAATTTTATTTTTCAGCTCTCTATTATCACACAAAAGCCCTCAATAGCATCCTGTAACTATAGATCAGACACTTTTACGATATTCTGCGTCTCTTTTTATGGGAAAGCTTTATATACAAGCAAACAGTATACTTGTATTGCCTCTTACTGCTCAAAATGATGCAAATCGCAGCATAATTTGGAAACCTGCGAGCCGCGGTTTCTCGCGTTAAACCCCATTTTAGACCGCCAAAATAGCTCCAAACAATCCCTTTCATCCTGCAGTAACCGTCTGACACCTTTGCTCGACTTTTTAGGGCCCAAAAAAACATGGCTAAAAATCGACCAAAAAGCATGAGGGGTACCTCATGATTTTCATCGAAAATCAAACGATCGCATTTTTCACCTCAAAAGCAAAGACTTTTACTATGGTATGTATTACATCAAAGTGTTGCTATCGATCCAAAGCAACCCTTGAAAAGACGTTTGTGTGATCCTGATATGTAAAATCTTGACATTTTCGCCAGAAACCCCATTTCATATTTCTTGGAATTGCTCAAAAAGTTCAATCAAAATGTCTCTTGTGTTTATCACCATTGGATGCGCCTCGAAAAGTACTCCAAGAATGCATTAGATAGTATGGAGCGATCACCACAGACTATATAGTCGAATCTCACAAAGTAGATTAATCGAGTCGCAAATTGATCCAATTTGTCCAATCTAAAGCAGAAACAGAGCGGAGTTAAAGCAGTTTTTGGTAATGGTGGCAGATAAAGATGATGGCAGCATCTTTCTCATGAAGGTAATCGAGGTTTTGACAAGAATACTATGATTTCTAATTATAAAAGAGCTTAGAGATTAATTTTGAGAATGAGTTATTTGGTTGTTCCATATGGGATATATGCAACAAATGTCAGAAGTATTATGTACAGCTCGTCACCGAAGCAATGGATACAACATATTTCTCTTTGAACATTCATACAAGAAAAGGTCTATAGTGTTAGCCTTCTGGGCCTTATTTCCTGATCAAGTGCACTGCATGGTTCAACTAATCCCAATGAGAGACAATGCTTGTATTATTCCTAAAAGCAAGCAATTTTCACACACTGTATGATACAGTGTACTCATGTTGAGATATGCCAATTTAAGCTTCTGATGATGCCTGCAGCAATTATAAATTTCACTGACAGAAAGAGGAAGCATCCATATCTAATCAAGCAACTCTCTGTATCATGCGATATCGCGAGTGATTAGCGTAATTTAATGGTGCGTAGGACCAACCAACTGAAAAAAGGTGTATCACAAACCACTTTTTGGATCAAACTTCCAAATATATACATTCACTCCATTTCAAGACAGATTTATAAAACCTTAAAAAAAAAAAATTCTTGATAGCTTTTTTCTTCTTCTTCCTTCACCTTTGATTACTCAAACACTCATGATAGGAACTATTCTCTCGTATATCGTCTCTATTGCAATCACATTTATCGTCTCCAAGTTTGGTCAAAAGCTGGTATGGCACAACAAAAAGGAAGATGGCACACTGAAAGCGCCATGGGCACCAAGCCCCAAAGGTCTGTCGTGGTTCACTGGCGGCTATGCAGAGTTTGAACGAGATACGTACCATGCATTGACACGCTGGTCCAAGCAATTAGGCGACTTGTTCTCGGTGAGATTGGGATTCAAGAGAATTGTGGTCTTGAACAGTGCTGAATTGGTGCACACAGCGTTGATTGAAAAGGAACAGTTGAATTCTTCCCGTATACCCTCTGATACGTTCGAGAAGTTGCAGACAGATCAATGCAAGACCGTGTTCACGGCTCCCTTTGATAAGTACTGGTCCAGAATCAGAAGAGCAACATACATCGTGGTGGGTAGATTGTACGCACCTCAATTCTCAAAACTGTTCAAGGAGCAAGCAAAGAAATTAACTTATGGCATTGGGCTCGAGGAAGGGAATGGCAAGTTGACTGCAAAGCAGCTGCGTCAGTTGGTGGACATGGTAGCTATGGATTCCGCTCTGACCATGGTGATGGCATCGAGCAAGGACGACGAGAGAGACCCGGTGGCCATGATGACCTTGATCCAGAAATGCCACGCTCTGGAGGAGAGACAAACACGTAAATACAACCGCATGGGCCAGTTCTTCCCTGCCATGAATAGCTGGTTGGATGTCAAGAGCCTATTCACCTTGGATTCCAGAAATTTAGATTTGCGCAACGAGATATTGGCGGTGGTGCTTCCTTGGTTCGAGCAGGTGTACAAATTGAAAGGGGATGTGCCTTTGAGTCAGGAGCAAATGAAGCAGTGGTCAAGCAATGGACAACTGGACTCTATCACCAAGAGCTTGCTGAACATTGAACCATCCAAGAATGACCCTGAGCCTGTGCAACTGACCAAAGACGAGATATTGGTCAACTCTGTGCACATGACCTTGCACGCTTATACTTATCTGGCATCAACACTCTTTACGCTGATCCAACGATTGGCAACAGAACCAGAGCTTCAAGAGAGAATCAAGCAAGAAACCACCAATGAGGACAAGACCTTGGCTTATGCCTTTGTCAATGAGAGTTTGCGCTACGATACACCAAACCACATTCTCAGCTACGGTCCTCGCACAGATTATGATTTGGATGTGAATGGCTCTCTTTATCGCATCGACGCAGATACCGAGTTGGTGGTGAACGTACATGCTATCCATAACGATACTAGATACTACTCCAAGCCTCACAACTTTAACCCTGACCGCTTCATGCTGCCACCCAAGATGATGAGCCCTCTTTTGGAGAATGACAAGAAGCCTGCAAGCGACCATTTGGCATTTGGTGCTGGTCGTCGTGCCTGTATTGGATCCAAGACAAGCCAAGACTTTTTGGTTGCGACACTGATTCAACTTGTCAAGCAATACAAGCTAGTGGGTGGCGATGTGGCTGACAAGGTGGAGTCTACCACCAGCATCTGGTCCTGGATTGGCAGAACGGAAACAAAAGGATCCACCATTGAGTTCATCAAGCGATAAATACCCTTTATTATAATACTATTACTTAATACGCTATTTATTTACAAGAATAAAATTATACTATATATATATACACACACACACACGAAAGAAACTAAGCAAACAGCTCCTCAAATTGCTTGTTCATCTCATCCATAAACTCGCCTTCTGGATCACGGGCGTTAAAGTCGAGCTGGTCCTTGACAATCGACAAACACAACAACAAATTGGCACGGATACGGTCCAGAGTAACTGCATCGTCGTCTGGTTGTTGGTATCTGAATCGAGCAGCCCTCAGCAGGATTTCCCAAGCATTCATGATCCATCTCAGATCCAAAAAGCATGCACAATCGTGCGACACTAGAAATTGTACAATGCGCACCGTGTTCAAAGCTGATTTGACTGATGTATGGATTAGAGGCATGTCAAAATTGACTTTGGACAGATTCAACGTCTTTATGAAATCGGTGAGATACTCCTCATCCGAGAGCTCCAGCTCTTGGTCTGCAAACTGCTGTTGGTGGAACTGTTTAAAGTACTTGACCTTTTCCACCACCTTGAGCCAAAAGTGGGTGCGGTCGTGGTGCTTGTCGCTGGCTGTTGAAGAAGGGTCTTGTCGCCCCTTGATATCGTGCTTTGTGTTGTATTGCATTTCCTTGAACTTCTTGATCAGTTCCTCTGTATCCAGTTGTGCCTCTGCAGGTGTCTTGGGCACATAGGATTTGGCCATGATGAGATACTCGTTGTACAGTGCTAACGTTGTTAACAGGGGAATAGGCGTTGCTCGACACTCGATTTCCAATGTTGTGAAAAAGTCCAAATCGCTGATACGATCATCAAACAGTGGCAGCGATAGTTGATAGTCGTCTGGCAGTGTGTTCCTATACCAGTTTCTCATCCCCATCTCAATATGATGTCCAAACACGCCAATGTAAGAAGGGAGATCTGAAGCTGCAGCACAGCGAGCACCGTCTTTGATTGCCTGCCTCAGCGTACACAAGTAGTGCCCCATCTTGATAAACTGCATTTCTCGGGGAGAATCGCCAGGAAACATGTGTACCTTGATTTGGTCTTGGCTATCCAGCAGCTTGAACAGTCTGTGAGGGCCCATTCCACGTATCTTGAACATGCTGCTCATGGCCGCATGGAGTTCCAGCACGGATCGACAGTGGTGCATACAACGGAATAGTCTACTGAACAGCATCGATTCGCCAGAGGGCTCTTGGTTGCTCGAGGGCTTGTACTCGTGCAATGGTAACAGCAAGGTATAGATGCGTTCTGCCATGGATAAATAGCGATCTGCCTCAATGTCGTCTTTTGTTTTCAGCTTGTACAGGGACATGAAGGCATATGTCACCAGTGTTTCCAGACTGGCCTCATCAAATTTGTCCTCAATCAGTTGCCTAGCTTGCTCAAAGTAGTAGAGTCCATAGTCTCGTGTTGCCTCCAAGGGTAAAATGTTCACAATGTGCCGACAGCACTGCTGAGAAAGATTGCTACAGAGGGCCATGACAGCAGGCGATTTCAGCAGGTCGTCGTTCATGAAGAGCCTTACAAACTCGGGCACGTACAGTGAAAAGTGCTGTAGGTGTTGGCATTGAAAGTAGGTGAATAAGAGTCGCATGGTGATGGTAGTGAGGCCTTCAACAGGGATCACTCGAGATATTTGTTGTGGTGCAACAGAGTGCATTAAAACAGGCGTGTGTTTGGTCATGCTCTTGAACCTGGATTTGCCGTATTTCCTCCAGATCAAAATGCCCAGCACCTTGTTCATGGCGGTTGTCTGTGTTGTTGGCTCCATATTGAAAGGAAACGGGAGCTGTGCTGTCTTTTCCTGATAGATGGCTGTGGACACCATACCACCAAGGCAAGACATGAGCTGTGCATGCGATGTGATGAAGGTCTCGATGCACATGTTGCCATTCGTCACTGTCAATGTCCACGGCTTTGATTCGCTCTTTTCCTGTGAAGTGAGTTCAGCTTGGATATTGTTGCTCTTGATGAGATGGTAATGATGCTTCTTTCTGCCTCTTTTTTGTTTGTAGAATCTTTCCACGTAAGGGTTCTCGCTTTCTTTTGAAGGCGATGATGGGTAGTGAAGCATTGTTGATGATGACGATGAAGGAGGAGGGACCCCCTGATAATCGATAAAAGGATCCTGAAAGAACAGAGGGCTGCTTTTGTCCTTGTGTCTGTGGCGATAGGCATGATCGTCAAAGAAGGCAGGTGCTGGTTTACCTAACGACACAGGCGAAGGATAATCGTGCAAGTTGGATGATGGTGGTGATTCGGGTTTCGGCTGCCTATCAGCCTGCCTGGCTTCATTCTCTTTCGCTAGCTTCAGAATGCCAATTTCGTTTTCCATGCATGCTATCTGATGCTGGATCGCATCTATCTGATTCATGTATTCGAGTTCTTGCATATATTCCATATCTTTGGGTGAAGGCATCACTGTGTATATGCATTCGGTGCCATTTTTGACACATCTGATAGCGAGTGAGTACGGCTGCATTAGCATGTTCTCTATCTACATACCTTTCGCATGGTTGTTCGTAAGTGCATTTGCGTTTTCTTTCTCGGCAACCTAGAATAAAATTGTGGTGAGTATCATATCAAACAACATGTAGGTTACTGCTTACCATTGCAAGGTGTCTTTTTGGGTACGCCGGTAGCCATCGCTGATATCAATGCAAATCAAGTTGAGTTTTCTCCTAGTGTAGTATAGAACAAAAAAAGACCTGATAAAGGGAATTTGATACCTAAACAGGAGATAGAGCCAAGAAGAAGGATGGAAAAAAAAAGAGTGTCGCAGCAAATGTAGTTTGCTTAGACATTTCGGGCTGATGATTGAAATCCAGAGCTGATCCAACACCATGATACACAACATATATCACACTTTATTTTTAGCTTTCGTATTGCTATCTGTATAGTAATAGCGATATTATGCATTCTATACCACTCGTTTTACTCGTGCTTTGAGAAAGTTGAGTGCGACACCATTTAATAGGCATTTCGAGATACCCAATTTTATAAATAGCACTGTATTGCAGGCTGCTTCTAATAGTCTATTGGCCACTAAGAGAAAGTAGTGTTTCACGAGTGAACGCATCTTCACTATATACTGTAAAGCATTCAAAATTCTAAAGAATTGTGTGCCGTACAAGGTGAATGAAGCCGGCATTGGGAAGAGGGTCTGGAGGAGGTGCTAAGCCCATCTACCAAAAACATAACGCATCTAATTCAACATTTGGTAGCATTGGCCTATGAGGCAGTTTTACTGTAGCGAAGTGAAGGTGAAAAGCCATGGCGACTAAGCCTCTAACTCGCCCTTTGGCAGTATTCATCTTAATGAGGGGTTTACCGCAGCGAAGCGAAGGCGCAAAACCATAGTGTTCAAGCAGCAAGTTTGGTTTTTTATTTCCATTATTGATAAGCTTACCGGCAACATAGCGCATCAAAATTTGCATGAATTAGCCTTACCAAAAATCAATATGACTCCTGTTCGAATTAGAAGTTGCACAGACTGCAGAACTGCCCTTCCAAAAGACTTCAGCTACCAAAGATGTGATTTATGCCGTGTAAATAAGCTCTATAAAGCAAAACATAACCAAATTGGATAGTTTCCAAGTCTTTATATCTTGAAATATAGGCCTTTCTGAGCCACCGGAATAACGCCAAACAATTGTACTTGAGTAGTAGTAACATCCTGACACCTTTGCTCAACTTTTTGGGCCAAAAAAAAAACATGGTCAGAAATCGACCAAAAACCGTGAGGTATCCCTCATGGTTTTCATCGAAAATCAAACGATCGCATTTTTTACCTTGAAAATGAAGACTTTTACTATGGCATATACTGTATCAAAATGTTTCTCTCGATCCAAAGCAACCTCTGAAACCACTTTTTATGAGGCTTTCATATGCAAAATATGGTTATTTTCGCTGAAAGCCTCATTTCAAATTTCACCAAATTGCTCAATAAGTTCATTCAGAACACCTGTTACAATCAGCATCATTAAAAACACCCTGAAAAGCACTTCAAGGATGTATTAGGAAGCGTAGGGTGATCATCACAGTTTATATAGTCAAACATCGCAAAATAGATTTTAGAAGTCGAAAAAGGACAAAATCTGTCCAATCTTGGGCAGAAAAAAATAAGCTGAATTTTAAATAATTTTGGCGGCGGCGGCATTGCTGCTGGCTGACCTAAATGCCTTTCTGTTGATGACAATAATGATTATGATGCTGAGGGAGATACCTCCTCTCCTCCTCCAGGCTCTAATGTAATCTGTCTTTTACCAACTGATAGTTGGTTGCGCAAATCTGCTTAATATACCAAAATGTTGTAATATCTGATTTAAAATGCCTTTGGTGAGAGCCCGCAGGGCGACGCCGGCATCGAGCGTAGCGAGATAGATCGGCTAGTATATAACTATTTACGTCTTGTAGTTTGGATGGATTGCTAAGCAGATTTGTAGTGCATGGAGCAGCACCAGCAGCCTGAATGCCAAGCCCAATGATGAAATAATCTCATTTGCCGTGACAGCATGGAAAGCACGAAATCTCTCGATGCCAACATGAATGCTTTGGTTTGCAAGTATCTGATGCTGCCATAGATCGATGACATCAAGACAAGCTAGACGTGCGACACATCATTCTCTCCCAATCAGGACATTTATTATGAATTGCATTGCGCAATCATCGACATGGAAGGTGACAAATCACCACAGCTTGATTCATATATGCATGAAATGAGACAACACTCATTAAATATTCTTTAGCATTTGCCACTCCTTTTAATGAAATTAGGGGCATCCAGATGAATTCGCAACATTTAATGAATCATGATGAAATTAGACGGAGAAATTAGAGCATTTATCAAGTAAAAGACATTATTACGCCTTTCTATGAGCTACGAGTTCAAATTTTGATGACGAGATTTGCGGTGGAATGCTGTAGATAGAAAAAAAGCTTAAATTAGCTGGCTTGAAGATGTGTTTGTTTGGTATCTCGTTTTGGCTCCGAAACGATTATCTGATCGAAACCATCCATCTATATCTGTGTGCTATCTGCCGTTCAAACACGGCTTGGTAATCTTTCGGCGTGTAGGAAGGATTAAGCATAGGCTACGGAATAGATTCGAATTCGGTGATATCCGTATCCCTCCCCTATATCAACCACTTGAAAATTCACTTTTTTAATCTACATTTTAAATTATTAGGATGCTTGTTAAATTGCGTTATCTGCCTAGTTTATCCAAAGCATGAATCATTATCCATCTACATTTTCTTGTGGAGTCAACAAGCAGCTTGGCCCCAAGATGCTCAGGGAGCATGAAGTCAAAAATGAGATGAGCGCACTTTGTTTCCAACCCAATGCTTGGCTTGAAAACTCATCAGTGATGTGCCATCAAATAAAACTGAGCAATTCGACTGTGTACAATGTAGAGAGCATGCCCTCCTTTTTTTTTTTTTTTTGTCTATGTGATTCACTATCACAGACCACGTCCTCATTTGCCAATATACGTGTGATTTAATTGGTGTAATGTAGCATTTAAAAATTCTCATTGGTTCTAGGGCGACAATGAAAACATTACTCTTGCCTATGTTTAATCATACTTTGACCCAATCACATCCTGTTTAACATTCACACGACCCCAATACTTTCTCAACGTTGTGGCATTCACAGGTAGACGAACGACCAGACTAAATGAGAAAAAAAATTCTCATTCATCCATCTCATCTAAATCACTATTTTTTAAGGGTAAAATTGCCAGATGGCAGGATTTTATTACTCATTTCCCAACATCTGAATTTTTTTTTAATTTAATAAATAATGAAAATGCCAAAGAAGCATGTCGTTGACATACACGTATTGGTTATATTTATATGAAACGGATGATATACTCATCAAGGAAAATAAGGGGGGGGGAGTTTGGATCATCTTGAGTCAAGACAAGCAATTCTTTTTTTTTTTTTTTTTTTTTTTTGAAGGATCATGACTCAGGAAGGCACAAACAGTGTCAGGGTGTTGCAATTGGGTCACCAAATAAAATCATCGAGCGTGAGTCATGGGCTGTGTTTCCTGCTTGGAAGATCCAAAAACCGAAGCCCTATAGCGAGTAAACCCTTCTCGGTGGTTGAAGCTCCTACCCGTTTTCCTATTCTTTCCTTTTTGTGCGAGAGACCTAATCTTGATCCTATAAATACTGTGCCCCCCCTTCCCGATTTCTTATCTTTTTCCCTTTTTTTTTTCTAATTTTTTAATTACTCGTCATGTCCAACTATAATAGCTTTATGCCCACTCAACAGCCTCAACATCAACAACAGCAAAAGGTGGATGTGAATTGTTTGGAGCAATATTATCGCTATATAGTAGGCATGTCGATGAATCAACACACGTCTTCCAACATTGTCAATGCAATCTTGAACCAAAATGATATCAATCAGTATCAAAAAGTCTACGTCGATACCCTCGTTGGTAAATAGCCATTGCCATGTATGCCATGCCTCATGTGATGTCTAATTATAAATAAATAAATATATATATATATATATATATCGTGTTTGCAGACATCACCACATTAACCATCAGAACATCTTGGCCCAATGAAATGTCAACCACAAAAGAAGGTCAACCCGTTGTAAATACTCAAGCATTTGTTCGCCACCTCTTGAAGCGCTCAAGAGCCACTCGATCTACCCTCCAACTCGCCATTTTCTACTTGTTTCGCATCAGACCTCACATTGCTAAGCGCAGCCAATTTGATCCTATCGTTAAATGCGGCCGCCGTATGTTCTTGGCTGCTCTGATCTGTGCTCACAAGTACTTGTACGACAACACATTCACTAATGCTAGTTGGGCTAAAATTAGCAAATTACCCGTAAAAGAAATCAACAGTGCTGAACGCTCCTTGTTGGAGATGCTGGATTATCGCTTGTTCGTATCAACTGAGCTCTACCAAAAGTTTGAGTCTCAATTGAGAGAAGCAATGCCCAACAACCACACCAGCATCCACACCAGCATGACTCCTGACAGCATCCCTAATACCACCACCAATGTAAATTTGAATAGAAAGCGATCTCATGCATCCACTTTCACATCACCAGCATCCAACATTTCAATCGTCAAAAAGCAAAAGACACAACAACACTGTATCATCCATGGTATCCCTACGCCTGAAGACGATAAAGTTGATTTTTATTAATCTATTCTATCCACTTAAATACCCATCTCTCTTTTCTCACCCCTTTCTTACTACTGTTTGTACATTTTCTTGACTCAATGTAATATACATTTCTCATATTATACTTTTTTTTTTAATACTAAATAAATGCCTGTTAATAACTTACACCTTGTTTTGCTGCTCATCGTAAATTGCTGCGTACACTAGCCAACAAACTGCGGCCAAGACTTGATGGATTTCAATAATATTCGAATCACGTTTTAAACATGAATCAAAAAACGTGGGATGAATAGGGTTCCACAGCAATTGATCTGTAATAAAGAAAAAAGGGCTGATCTTGCTGTTCTTCTCAATCTTGCGCTGTATGGCATGGACAACATGTTAATTTTAGCTTGAATGAATCATTGAATTTATATTTGAACAACTAAAAAGTATCTGTATCATGTTCTCCATCGACATCCGTGGCCAGATCCTCTTTATATATCGGAGCTTGGAGTCATGAAAAGGCAATAAAAATTTGCCCAAAGCTGCCTAATCAACCACCCACTGCTATTTTTAATTCTTTTTGAATCTTTCTCTCTCTCTCTCTCTCTCCCTTTTTTTTTTAACTCTACATTTACTGTGATAGACGAAATTGAAAATAAAATAATACCGCTTTAACAAGAACCTACTCTGCGCAAATATCTACACATTTATCATGTCGACAAAAGAGAATAAAGCATACACAGCACTTGATCAAAGCTCCATGCCCAATTTCAACTCTTCCTGGGTAAACTACAAAGGTAAGCATCCACACAAAGGCCAGTCTAGTGCCTGCAACTAAACCCCATTCAGGCGCGTGGATAACAACAATCTTTGTCGCCGTTGCATTGAAAGCATTATTCACAGTTATACCATTCATCACACCGGAAGCGAGTTGGACTTTAACAAACTTGTCCTTTAACTTTGTAAGCAAATCATGTGTGCACACACACGCACCGTATACACAAACAACAGCCATTAAAAGAGATGCTTTGTTACTAGGGCCACTATATCATGTTTCATTGGGTTCAAGGTATACCATTCGAGAACAATCAAGGAGCTTACGATGGATTGACATTATGGGAACAAATCGACGGTGGCGTGCAATTTACAGCAACTCGTAAATTTTTAACTGCTGTGCCAATTGTATTGTAAGTATCCAAACAGCAGGAGATGGGAAAGCGAGAGTGCGAAAAGAGCCGTTGCATAGTAAAGTGTATACTGATGCTTTGCCATAGATTTCTATTAAGCACGCATTATACACACTACGATGTGTTTTTATTCGGTATTAATTTCACGGCACTCATGGTGGTATTGGTTGCAAAGTTACCTGTCATGCATCGAGTTCGAATCTTTGGCATCAATAAGCTGGATTATGAGATGGATTGAGTCAAAGTGTGGGTGAGATATAGCTTGGTACAATTCAAATGAACATTATGCAACATTACACTATCAAAACACAAAAGGACCACCCTCGACCGCACACACAGACACACGCACACAAACAAAGCACCACACTCGCAAACCCACATATACACCCTCCCCCCACAAAAAGAAAGAAAACCGTCTCTTTTTTTCTATACATATACAATTGATTGATTAAAGCTATATTCTTACGAAAAAAGTGAACTGCATACTGAACAGCTCATTAGGCTGCTCCTTGGAGAAAGAGGTCGTAATACCATATGGCATTCCAGATCAATAGAGTAACACAATTGGGTTTAGTTTTCCTGAGAAATGATATCACTCTCGTTATGTATGTGTGTATGTGTGTCTGAGCTCTATAAATAGGAGGAGTTTTACATTTGCAAAAAGAATTGACATCATTATTATGCATTTGGTGTTATCAGTTTGAGCGAGATGATCCCCTCCCTGCTGCTGCTTGCCTCATTGTACATGCCTCTCTCACGATCCAAGAAAAAAAAACAACTATAAATATCGCGTCTTGTGTTTGTCTCTTTGCTTTTTCTTTTTTTTTCCCTTCATCATTTACATACAAATTCTAAAACATGTCTACTCAAGCTCAACAAAACGAAAAGAAGATCAACGAGAACGTTGACAAGGCCGCTGAACAAACCAAGCAAGAGTTGTCAAAGTTAAGAGCTGAATACGAAGAACTCAAGAGAACTGCCAAGCCCAAGGTCCAAGAAGCTGAAACCTTTTTGACTTCTCCTACTGCTATCGGTTTCTACCAAGGTATGTTTTTTTTTTTTTTTTTTTTTTTTTTTTTTTCATGCCATCTGGCATGGTGGAGGCTGGGGGGTGGGGTAGTTTTTTTTTTCTGAGCAACGTGTCCTAATGAATATGTGTCATGTAGGTCTTGTCGTTGGCGTCTTTATCGTCTTGGGCTATGCTAAATATAAGGGTGGTTTGGTCGTTTAAATCAGTTATCATACAGTCATAATTCAATAATAAATAATTTACTTTTTGCCATCATGCTGTAAATGCGGAAAAGTTTTTAGCAATGCACATTGATTTCAGTGTTTCGCTGTCTATGAGCATCACGGAGGGTTTGTTTACAATTCATCTGTTATTCAAGGGTGCATTCATTTAATTTGAAACAAGCGTATCATCAGAAACGACAACATACTTTGTATTCACATTGTGTCTATTACGTGGCGGCTACACTGTTGGCCAGATCCTCCTTTTTTTTCAATGTCGCTTGTTCATTGCATTGCGTCTGCACCTGTATCAACAGTTTCATAAAATGCACTGTGTTGCTGAATGGGTTGACTGTTCCAGACTGGTCCTGCTGAATATTGAGCATACAATTGCCATTGTGCTCGAGCCTAACCAACTTGGCCATTCTTTTTCATGTCCAACATGGATGATCTTACTCTATGCACATGGGAGATTCACCATCTCAACACCTCTTTGAATCTGTGGCCCTATTCACATAGCATTGACTGATCTATTGCTGTTCTGAAAACTCCAGATTGCGGAAGCTCATAGCCAGCTTGCATCATTGCTTCATGCAATCGTAACATCTAAGAGTGGGCTGATCTCAGCATGAGCGAATGCCTTGATATCAGTTTGCTACATGGATATAAGTGTTCTGTCAAAATGTCTTTTTTTTTTTTTTTTTTTTTTTTTTTTTTTTTGCATTTCTCCTGAAAAGTACGTCTTTTAAAGCAAAACACGCATAGCTGCCATATCAATGCCTAGATCTAGTGGATCTTATTGTCATTCACTGTCATAAGCTTCACGTGCGGATGCGAAAGAGGATTGCTTGAGGTATACAGTAGTTTACAAGCTTGATGGCAGTGCCATACAGTGACCTGATAACGATGCCTAATTGCCAAGCTGCCAGCCGCAACATCTTTCAACGGGAGCCTAATCGAACTTTCTTGGTTCCTATAGAATGGATGGCACATTTACCTATAAAAATCAATGCTATACACGTGATGAGGAGGCAAAGGCTGTTCACATTCGTAATGCAATCTCTATTGATTGTTTCCCTTCGCTCTTGCAATTCCGGCGCCAGGAATTGAACCCAAATTGAGAAGAACGAAAGATTCTTTTTCCTTCTTCTTATTTATAATAAAATAACATCAAGTGGATATATGGTCGATAAAACACTAAAAGACTTGAAGAGTACTGACACGGTGCCTGAGAAACCCACTGCCAAAACACCATCATCACCAACAGCAGCGGCAGTATCACCAGCAGCCACCGTAGCAGTAGCTGCCACACCCGCTACAACAACAGCAACCACCTCTCCACCATTGACAGAAGCGAGCCCTGCATCCGGTGCTAGTAAACCACTGATCACGGATGGTAATTGCTTGCGTACCGTAGCCTTGATATGAGCTAACACTGCCAATGTAGAGGAAGCCATGTTCAGAACAATCTTGCCCGAAAACAGTGAGTTGGAGACTGAGAAGCTTGGTTTCTACCACTGGCACATCAAGGACTGGAAGGCGCTAGAGACCAAAACGCATAGTCCAGCATTTGAGGTCAATGGATTTTCCTGGTATGAGCCTTCGTTTGCATATACATGTACTAGCAGCTAATGACATAGCGTCAATCAGGCGCATCCTTTTGTTTCCTAAAGGAAATAACCAGAAAAAATCAGTCTCTGCCTATCTCGAAGTTGCTAATCCCAAACAGCGTGGCATTGCTGATGATTGGCATACATGTGCTCAGTTTGCATTAGCCATCTCCAATCCCGAGGATCCTAGCAGCTATTACTCCAACAGTAAGTACAGCATGCCAACACAATGGACTCGAGTAGACCCACACATTTCCTTGTAGCTGCCAATCATCGCTTCTCTTCCGAGGAGATTGATTGGGGATTCACGCGTTTTTATGACATTGAAGACCTCAGCCAGCAATCAGCCACAGGCAAGGGGCCTTTTTTGATCAACAACAGCAATGAAACAGTGATTTCTGTCTTTATCCGTGTTGTCAAAGATGAAACTGGTGTATTGTGGCATAATTTCGTCAATTACGACTCCCGCAAGGCAACTGGCTATGTCGGCATCAAAAACCAAGGAGCCACATGTTACATGAACTCGTTATTGCAGTCGCTGTATTGCACCAACAAATTCAGAAAAGCAGTGTATGAGATCCCAACCGAGAAGGACGAACCCACAAAGAGCGTCGCTTTGGCTTTGCAGCGCTGCTTTTACAATCTGCAGTATTCTTCAGAGCCTGTCGGCACACTGGAGCTGACCAAGTCTTTTGGCTGGGATTCTCTGGATGCATTTATGCAGCATGATGTGCAGGAATTCAACCGTGTATTGCAAGACAATTTGGAAGAGAAGATGAAGGGCACACCTGCTGACGGCGCAATCTCCAAGCTGTTTGAAGGCAAGATGAAGAGCTTCATCAAGTGTATCAATGTGGATTATGAATCCTCTCGAGTGGAAGACTACTACGATATCCAGTTGAATGTCAAGGGCTGCAAGAACCTAGTCGACTCGTTTGACGATTACATTACCGTCGAGACGCTGGAAGGTGACAACAAGTATCAAGCGGAGGGCCATGGGCTGCAAGATGCTAACAAGGGTGTCATATTTGAAAGCTTCCCTCCTGTATTGCATCTACAACTGAAGCGTTTTGAGTATGATTTCATGAGAGATACCATGGTCAAAGTAAGTCAAACAACTACCAGGCAGCCATGGTTACTTATTCCAGCACACAGATCAACGACCGTCATGAGTTCCCCGCAGAGATCAACCTAGACAAATACTGCTCCAAGGCAGATGCCGATGGGCCCTATGACTATGAGCTTCACGGGTAAGTGTTTGAGCTCTGTAAACAACTGTACCGCAGGCTAATAGACTGGTATGCAGTGTCCTAGTGCATAGTGGTGATATTTCTGGGGGCCATTACTTTGCCTTGATCAGACCTGAAAGCAGCGACAAGTGGTTCCGTTTCGACGATGATAGAGTGACACCAGTATCAAAGAAGGAAGTGTTTGAGGAGAACTATGGCGATGAACCTCTTCGCGATAGCAAAGACCTTCATGGACTCTCTTCGCCGCCCTTCTTGAATGGCACGGCTCGAATCAACAGTGTTCGCATGATGAAGAAGTTTACAAATGCCTACATGTTGGTGTATATTCGAAAGAGCAAATTGGATGAGATTCTGGGCCCTGTGAGCGAGAGCGATATTCCTGTGCATTTGAAGCGTCGCTTGGATGATGAAAAGGCTTCTATTGAAAAGCGCAAACAAGATCGACAAGACATGCATTTGAACGTCAAGGTGGCTATTGTTACAGATGAGTCCTTCCAAGACTACCAAGGCTTCAACCTGGCTGTATTTGATGATCGCTACCTGGAAGTGTCGCCCCATGTGCAAGTGTTCAAGGCGCCCAAGACTGAAAAGATCAGTGCTTTCAAACAGCAGCTGGTGGACCACTACAAACTTGAGCCCGACAGATTCAGATTATGGTCTATTTTATACCGTCAAAACAAAACTGTGCGTGTGGATCAGGCTCTGTCACCGGCAGATGAAAGACAAAGTAAGTGCTCAAGATGGACGCCCGGTGATGTTGTACTGACCTGCTTGCATTAGCGGTGGAGAAGATGAGAGAGTCGACCTGTGTCAGCACTCAGATCAATGGATTTACCAAGTTGTACCTAGAGATTGCAGAGAAAAATCAACCGCTCACAGTCTTGAGAAATGACCAGCAAATCGTGTTTATCAAATACTTTGATGTCAAGACGCAAAAGTTCAGAGGATTGGGTCATATCTTTGTCTCTTCCAACGACAAGATTGGCTCCATTCTACCCACACTAGTCGAGCGAGCTGGCTTACCCAAGAGCACATCAATTCAGCTGTTTGAAGAGGTCAAGCCTACAGCAATCGATCCTCTCAAGAGCGACATTACCTTCCGCAAAGCAGAGATCCAACACGGTGACATTGTGTGCTTCCAACAGACCTTGTCGCAAAAAGAAGCCGACGAAATCACAAAGAATGGCCTTATTGCGACTGTGCCTGATTACTATACCTCTTTATACAACAGAGCCTGCATCTTGTTCAAGCCCAAGCCCAACACTGCCTCCAGCAACTCGGAAGAAGTGCAGCTCACCTTGGACAGAACCGCCAACTATGTCACTGTTGCAAAAGCATTAGCTGGTAAACTGAATGTCGAAGCCAGCAAAATCAGATTCACAGCATCCAACAGCATTACCCACCAACCACGAGAAATCATCCACTACAAGCCTGGCACTCGATTGGAAGAGATGATGATTGGCTTACCCAAGCCCCAGGATTATGGCCAGATTGTCAGTTTCGACAACATCAACATACCTGTCATGTTTTACGAAGTGATGGATGTGGATGTAGCAGATTTAGAATCCAAGCGATCCATCGTTGTCAATATCATTGGCCCCACATTGCGCAAAGAAACCAAGGTCACTGCTTTGTTGTCGCGCACTGGCTCTGTACGCCAATTGCTGGATCAAGTGCTCATTAAGGGTAAAATGAATGTCAAAGATGCTGATAAAATTCGACTGTACGAAGCTGTGGATGGCAAAGTGACCCAAGAATTCTCGCCTGATCAGACAGTGGATAACGTTGCTATGGACAAGAGGGCCATTGTCTATGCTGAGGTAAGGGGGGGGGGTTTTTTTTTATATATATATATACATGTGAATGATTAGCCAAGCAACTCACGTCATGATGGTAATAGCCTATTCCCAAAGACGAGTTGGAGATGAACCAAGACGAGGATCGCTTGATTCAAGTTGTCCACTACCACAACCACCCTTCAGAGTTCCACAGCATTCCATTCAGATTTGTTGCCATCAAGGGTGAGCTGTTTGAAGACACCAAAAAGAGATTACAGAAGAGAACTGGCTTGGGCGACATGGATTGGAAAAAGGTGAAATTTACCATTCTCAGAAACCTTCAGGCACCAGAACCTTTGGTTACAGTCATTGACAATCCTGCTGAATTTGAGCTACGTAAAGCCCGCCTTCAAGAAGAAGATGCTCTTGGTTTGGATCACATTGACAAGTCTTCAAAGAGCAGATTTAGTAGCGTGTTTGAAAAGGGTATCTTCATTAGAGGTTAACAAAAAAGCATCACACCCATTCTAGCAGCTCCTTTGCCACGACGTTGCATCCACGAAAAAATAAAATAATAATCAAGTAGTGCATTTCACATGGAATGGTATTAATGGTCATTGCTTTCTATTGTTTAAACCACCACGATAGTTTTTGGCTGATCTTTTTCGTTGTTGGAGAGATGTCATGCAGCTTGTAGTTGGATACAAAAGTAAGCAACTCGATGCAAATTCCTTTTGAGTGTTGCCGCTTTTTGCTACTACTAACAGTTGGAAAAAAAAAATGGTAACTGTAGTGGTAACGGGTAGCCCAGCGCGAAGAAACATCTTCCATCAAGGTCCTTGCACCAGCAATGGCCTTGCGAACAGCAGACAGTTTACACATCGTTCATAGCATCCTATCTAATTACATACTGGAGAGGACAGTACAAATTAGCATTGGTACGCTCTCATGCCGTTATTCTTCTACAAGAGATATAACCATCTATGATGCAAGCAATTGTTTATTTAATATAGAAGCGCAGTATTACAAGGCCATGGAATACATAATAGTGGAATTAGACTTCAAAGGGCAAAAGAGACAGTGTGTTTTTGATGGTGGTGGCAATGAGTCTCTGTCTTGAAATTGAAGTAGGATGTAGTAGTAGTGGTATTTGTCAGAGCATCCGAGATGGGAGTCGATGACTTGCTTTCAATCTCGCTTCCTGCCGGCGCATTTGGTGTGAATATACACAGGGAATGAAGTGTACAAGTATCCTTAAAGTCATCATCGTCATTGCTATCGGCCTCTGCATCAGCGAATCGATTTGATGTGGTCTTTTCAGAGGGTGATGAGTCTTCTTCAGCATCGGATGAGGATGCAGATGTGAGCGATGAGATGTCGTCTTGATCTTGATCTTGCTTGTACAGGGTATGTTGGTGGGCTTGGGCGGCATTCTGTTGTGTAGTGGATGCATTGGTACTGATAGACGTGTGCTTGCACATGATGAGCCCTTCATCTGCTGCTAAAACATCGTTATCCTTGTCAACATCCTCTGCTTCATACGAGTTGGCATAGCTTTCATCCACAATGATGCGGTGGTACTCTACATCTGCGTAATCATTCCAATTACTGCAACCATAAAAACTAGTTAGACTCAGACATACTAGTTGAATGTACACCCTACAGACCTTAATATGGGGAAACCAAAATCATCTGTCATGAGGACGGGCTCCTGAGCACCATACACGCCGGCATCCTCAAGCAGCCTATTCTGATAGGTCTGTTGTTCCCGGATGGATCCTTCTTGACGCGATTCATGGGCTTGGAATCGATCAAAGTTGACAAATGTATCAAAGAACCGTTCTGCTAAAAAGACATTCTTCTTGAGGTCTTGCATCGTGAATTGGCCTGGCACTTTTGGGCGGATTAAATCGTTCATTTGGCGCATCACATCAGTAAATTGAATTCTATCCTCGGGCTGTATGCTACCGTACACCTGCTGCCTAATTGAAAAAAAAAAAAAGTAAGGCAACTGCTGTGGAAAATGGCCAAAATGCCACTTACTTTATGTTTTGGTCTTGCCAAAACTGACTCAACTCATAAGAAGACAAGATGCCGTCATCGTCCATGTCCAGACAACGAAACCTACAATGATATATCAAGACACGCATGAGTGTGATTCAAGCTTGTTTCATTGTGCATTTGCCTCATACCAGTAACGAATAGCCATTGGTGTGCTTTTGTCTACCTCTGACAACAGAAACCCTAATTTGACACAAATGTAAGCAACAACACGCTAGTTTGGGATGCAGCCATAATAACAACAACGTACAAATAAAGTCAAAGTAGGTCAGGGTAGATTGAGTGTCTGCCACGGGAATATCAATCGAGTCTACTGTTGCCACTGCCGCTGCTGTATCGTCATCCGCCATCACTATGGTGTCTGTAAATGCAGCAATATGGCCCACTTCCATGATTCTCTCCACGGCCAATCGTGTCAAAGCACCCATATTGTAGTTGCAGAGATCCGTCTCGGTGATGGCCAAGTCGTGGTCTCTATCTAGGGACCACAATTTGCAGTACAAGACATAGAATTGCTTGTACGAAAAGGGGTTGTGTGTCTATAGAGGCGAATGAGTGTGTGCGTGTGTGCGTGCGTGCGCATGCCATGATACTCCACCACTTACCGTGTACAGATCAATGGAAGGCGTTATTCTTTGGATAAGGGAAGCTATGCCGCTCTTTTTAAAGCTGTGGAATGTCAGCCTGCCATTTGGACAATGCGCATCGTAATAGATTCTGCAGATCACAGTTTCAACTAGCACACAGCACATCAATACAGGGAGAGAAGTAGAGTGAGAAATGACTTACTGTATCTTTCTTGAAATGTAATGTTGTTCTCAAGGAACTGCAATGCAGGGTGGTTTAATACAATGTCTTCCAATACAGGCAAAAAGTCATCAGGAGTCAAGTAATCCAATTCAGACTTTTTAAGGATAGTGAACATTAAAGAATGAATATCATCCATTGATGCGTCCTGCGTTAATAGAGGCCAACTCCTGAAAATCAATTTTTAATATGCATTGTATATTGTCAAGATGAATTCTGTACGTCTACCTTTGGAATTGTGCAAACGTAACCTGGTCATTCTTGTCATTCAGCATGTCAATTGCACGAAACAGAGCTAGATTCATGTACTGAGGCAGTGCGCATGCTGTGGTTACCGGAAGAAACTCGAGTTCTGTCAGGTGCTCCTTTTGATGGAAGGCTTCTTTGATCGTGTTCTATATAGCCAATACATGTCAGCTCGGCACAGATACACACCAAACACAGCTGCTCAATGCTTACCATGAGGGCATGCTGCTTGTCATTTGTGCGCTTGTTTGCTTTGGGAAAATAGAATGGAGGAATCAAAGTCGATGGAGGCATTGAAGTGAATAAAGAGGAAAAAAAAAAAAGGAAAAAGATATCAGAATGGGAAAAAAAAAAAAAGAAAAAGAAAAAGGGAGAACATCACTGGAGGTTTCATTTTAAAACCATTGTCAATGCAATCGACAACAATCAAGTTTATTTCTAGTTCAATGGCACATCCAGCACCAAATTGTCAATCAAGCGGGTCTTGCCAACAAACACAGCCATGCTGATCACACAGCCTTCCTGCTGAGGGATCTCGCCCTTGAGCTCACTCAAATCAGCTGCTGAATTGATAGACACATAGTCCAGCTTTATCTTCCAATCCTCGTTCAGCTCGTCTACCTGCTTGCGCGCATTTTCAATCAACGCAACACCTTCCTGTACCAGCTGAGTGGCATTGGTGGTGCTGCCAGAGCGGTACAGCTGCTCCATGTGTTGGAGGGATTGTGACAACACCAATGCGTATTTCTTTTGTGTGGGTGTCAAATATGCGTTTCTGGAGGACAGTGCTAGTCCATTTTCATCTCGCACAGTAGGACAAATATGCATCTTGGTGGGGAAATGCAAATCTCGAATCATGTTGCGAATCACAAAGCATTGCTGGATATCCTTCTGTCCAAAAAACACATCCTCGGGCTGCACAATGTTCAGAAACTTGCTGACCACAGTAGACACGCCGCGAAAGAAGTTGGGACGAGTAATACCCTCCAACTGACTCGAAAGACCAAGCACCTCGACAAATGTGCCCTTTTGCTTGCTTACATCCAAGTTGATACCAGCTGGATACATCTCCTCTACCTGAGGCACAAGCACAGCAGACGCAACACCCTCTCCCAAGCTAGCCAGTTTGTCCAAATCACTCTGCAATGTGCGAGGGTAAGTAGCAAGATCCTCGGTGGGGGCGAACTGGGCTGGATTGACAAACACGGTGAGTGCTACATGATCGCAACGTTCTTTGGCGGCTTGTACTATTCAATGGGTTTAGGATTTTCGCTAAAGACATCTGGGTTGGCTCATGTCTCACCTAGCGCCAAATGGCCTTGATGAAGCGCTCCCATGGTAGGGACATAACCAAGTGTCTTTTGGTCCAACAAGAGGCTGCGACGCCATTGTCTGAAATCAGCAATCTTGTTAAATACCTTGATACCAGGGGGGAGCTTGACTTGTAGGATGGTTTTGTAAGAAACTCATGCACACATACTCTCTCTCTCTCTCTCGGTTTTCAACAAGACTTACGAGCACTCATTGAAACTAGCTTTGTTTAGACAAGATGATGAAAAAGGTAAACAAAAGGACCATCAAATTTAAACAGTCAGTGGGCATGGCGACAAAATAATTAGCCGTACGTCGCATCAGTGGAAGAGATAGATTTAACTCTCGTGTAGTGGCTATACGCACCTAATTTGCTTATCGTCAATCCATTCTTTTGCATGATACTAAATCCACAGCATAATCTGACATTGCAACTGCCACATCAAGAGCAGCTTATTGGATAGCTACATCATTAGAAGGAATCAGTTTACTTGTTGAATCGCTTCAAGTCAATAAATACAGTTCAATGTTCCATGATACTTGATTAATATTCACATGTCCCACAATCTATCACAATCATTCTGTTTACTTTGTCTTGATAGGCTTTTATCTATCCAGAACTGGATGTTCAAGCCTGGTTATAAGTTTCCAGGCCCTTATTTGGGGTCATTGAATGAATAGTTCGAAATCTCAAAAGAAGCGGCAAACTGCTTTGTATGATTATTTATCTGACAGGCTCCATCGCTGCGAAATGGCCTCAATGCAAATTTTAATGCAGTTCACCTTGTTCTAATGGGAGATATACTTTAGACCCAGGTCAACACCTATGAGATCAAACAAATACAATTTGAGACTTGATGAATGAATGAATTCAGTATTATAAACAGAGCAACCCTAGTTTGGATCAACAAACACCACCCAACTGCCGTGTCTTCACATTTTAGATGCCAAATTTTTGTAGGTAAAAGCCATTCCTGGGCCTGAAAATCAGACCAGTCGAGTCCTACAAAGTAGTAGAGTTGATCTGCTACCAATTTACAACTTTTCCAGGAACTTTTTTTTCCATCTCAAAATTCGACGGTTTTGGCCTTGCAGTAGCAAGAGAAAAAAAAATGCAAATCAGACAAATGACGATTTTTCGGTTGAAAAACGAGACTTTTTACTAAGGTATATATCAGATGAAAATACATGAAAAAGTCGTCTTTATCTGATGAAGCCGTTTATTTGGAGCACGCAAGCCAATTTTTTTTTTTTGACTTTCTCCCGATAAACTGAAAAAGTGGTTTTTTGAGCTTATCTCTAAAGTTTTTAACGGTATTGCAAAAAAAAAAAAAAAAAAAAAAAAAAAACAAAAATGACATTAAATAGAGCACACACGAATGCATGTATTTTGCTAAAATACATTTGAATGTTTAGTATCCTCTTCGGGAAGAATAAATTCTTTAAAGATTATAAAATTTCCAAAAATGACAATTTGGAACAAAATGGATCAGATTAACATCCCATTGTTGAAGTTCCAATATCGCTCGAAAATCGCTCGGTTCAATTATGTTCCTGCTGATTAAGCTGTTGGGTGAGTGAAGCTGTGTATTTTACAGAACGTACTGGTTACAGGCATACGCGCATGTAACTGTCTTGACCAACTAAAACAACTCAAAACTATTGCTCCATAGGTCACCAGTTACCAGATGTTGCTACAGGTCTTTTCACTTGATTCAGGTCAGAAAGCGATCCTCCACTTTATTTAATTTCCAAACAGTATACATCGTTTGATATTTGTGTCATACTCTCGTTCAATCGTTCAATCGTGCACCGCAAACCCTCATCCAGAGGAATGCTGAATCACTTGTTGCGACAATTTATACTTTATTTTTAGAGCTTGAAATTTACATATTCCTTATAGACTTGCCCTCTCTTCTAAACTACTGCTAGTATAGCCATTCTGTTTATCGCTCAACGCCTTCTTTGCCACTTGAATAGCATCATGTCCAAACAGCCAAGGTTGGAAGTCACCGTCAGACCACTGATTAGGGTTCTTTACATGTACCTTCTGCACCGTATCATCAGAAACGACAATTTTCATGGCTTTATCACGAGCAATTTGGTCATCTCCATCAGGCATGTGCCAAATATCACCATTGTCAAGAGCACCCTTTTGGATCTTTTCAGCACGTGGTCTACGAATCTTTTCATACAGCTTTAAAAGATCAGGAATTTCATCTACGGATTCGATTTGAGAGAACAAGACACCCAATGTAGCACCATCTTCAATGGCTTGGGCAGCGCCTTGAGCAAGATAAGGGAGCATGGCATGAGCGGCATCGCCAACCAATACAACTCTGCCACTAGGGCTTACCCAATGGCTCAATACAGGGAGATCAGCCAACGTCCATTTCAAACAACCAGTGACATGCGTAAGCACTTTTCGAATGACAGGGTCAAAGTTGCGATAGTGGTACTTCATTTCTTCCAAATTGCCGGGCTCGTTCCATTTACCAACAGCGGCTTCACCAGGATGAGACATGACAAGGTTGTATAGCTCTCCACCTCGCATAGGATAAGCCATGATATGGCGACGATAGCCGATCCAGCAGTTGGAGTTGAGATCGTCCATCAAATGAGCAATCTCTGGATCAGAACGCATGACTTTGACAGGGACAGTGGCGCGGTAAGCACAATTCGTAGATTTCTTGGGAAGAATGGTTTCGTCAGGAATGACAGCAGCACGCACGTTGGAACGGATACCATCAGCACCGATAATCAGATCGCCCGTGTAGACACTGCCGTTAGACAATCTAACAGCAACAGCACCATCATCTACAGAGTCTACGCGAGCACCCAACACAACCTCAATACCAAGCTCAATTGAGTGATCGTACAATAGTTGCAGGTAATCAGCACGATGAATGAGGAGGTACCTAATGTTTAGTCAGCGTCAGTTCAGACGTAGATGCGCAACTTAAGCCACTGTCTCTACTTACGGATAGCCGTAACGTTCAACCATCTTGGGCTTCAAGGGAGTGCTACCAATAATTTCACCTGTAGAATATCTTCTCATGTTGATGTTTCCGGGCCAAACCACCTTGGTCTTGAATCGATCCAGCAAACCCCAAGCATCCAGGATACGAGAGGTATTAGGAGGCACCTGAATACCTGCACCCACTTCACTGAGTTGCTTAGCGCCCTCCAAGACAGTGACCTTATGACCAGCTCGCTTTAATGCAATGGCAGTAGCCAAACCACCGAGTCCACCGCCGACAACAATGACAGAAAGAGTTTTCACCATATTTTAACTTTTAAACTTGAAGAGTTGAGGAAAAGAAGAGAGAAAAATAGCCTGTGCCCCGTGCTCATTTATACAGAAATTGCAGATGGTGGGAAATGCGCTATCTATACTCATTGCAGCAAAGATCATGGTATATTGCTTTATGGATAATTTCAGACAAGTTCATCCGCCGTGAGTGTATGCTCCCCTCTTGACTTGATCTTTTACATCCTATTCGTTCAATGCTTTATGGAAATGCATCCTATTGGATTTTTGCTGCTTCATGCTACATTGTGTTACAGGAACCAGTCTCTCGGATGAATAACAGCAATGCATTCGTATTTTTGAAGTCTTTCGAAATGATATAAAATCTGGTATATCGACATCTTTTTTTTTTCTTTTTCTCATTCTTTCTTTTTTTAAAAAAAAAAACTACCACTTCAATCCAGAGATGCTTGCTGAACCCAACAATTGCGATTTCCTTCAAAAGTATGACGGCTCTCATGTTGAACCACTGTGGACTGTCATGGAAGCGATGGTGCCCCCACATCCTAATCCTAAATGTGTGCCTCACTTGTGGGAGTATGAAAAGATCAGACCTGCCTTGCTGGAGGCCGGTGAAAAAGTAGGTGAATACGAAGCTGAGAGAAGAGTATTGATGTTGGTCAATCCTAGTATGAGTAAGTTTAGACACATCATGTTACACACTGAAAACACTCATGTCGCATTGTTCCTGATAATTTAGAGGCACCTTACACTACAGACACTTTGTATGCTGGTTTGCAATTGATCAATCCAGGAGAGACTGCACCCGCACACAGACACAGAGCCTTTGCTCTTCGCTTCATCATTGAAGGTCATCGGGGATTCACTGCTGTAGAAGGAGAGAAGATTTACATGAAGAAGGGCGATGTCATTCTTACTCCTCCATGGACCTGGCACGATCACGGCCATGAAGGTGATGATGTGATGATTTGGTTAGATGGCCTTGATCTCCCCATTTTCCAGAATATCCCAGTCAATTTTGCTGAAAACTATGAAGAACGTAGATATCCTAGCGAGCAAGCAGAAAACAGTTCATTGAAATTCTCTTGGGAGCCAGTTGAAGAAGCCTTGAATGCTCGCAAGCTAGAAACTGAATATGCTGATTATGAATACAAGAAGCCTGATGGTAAGCCATTGTCCAATATCATTGGTGGCGAAGCCGAGCGTATCAATGCAAATGGTGCTTCCACTACTCGTCGTGAAACCTGCTCAAGAGTGGTCCATGTCTATGCTGGTCAAGGTCGTACTGAACTTGTGGATGCCAAGGGTAACAAGACTGTATTGGAGTGGAAGCCCAATGATACCTTTGCTGTGCCTGCTTGGAGTTGGGTCACTCATCATGCTGATTCTCAAGTCGATTCCTATCTCTTTTCCTTTAATGATAAACCTCTTCAAGAAAACCTTGGTCTCTATAAAGTTGAGCACAAGTCATTGTAACATCAGTTCGTAAATAATAAATCATTGCACATATCAACCACATTTATAGTCTCTTTCTATGATACGATGGATTTTTATCCGAGATTCGAAGATCCCTTTACTTACCTAATATGCATATTACAGTGTTCAAGGGGTCCATTATTGAAGTCGATTTCCAAAGAGTGGTGTGAGAGATATATGGCTCAAGCGATGATATAGCTGTTGAATCTACAGAAAAAAGCGTTTATTGGTAAGCGCGTCGTTATTTAGTTATCAAAAGTTGAAGAAATGCTGGTACAATTGAATTTTATCATGTGAACACAGAAATGTCAAACAGCATTGACTAGTTGAACAGCTTAAAAATGTATACAAATTATCCTCGGTGGCTGATAAAGAATGACTTGATCATTCATCCAGGGATAAGGCTAAATCTTGCTCATGCTTGTGATACGCATATTCTTTGCTATCATTGGTCTGATGAACATCAAGATGTCTGTTTGACCCTCCATTACACTATCAAGCAGAGTGTATAAAAGAGAACTGTGAGAACACGACAAAAAACCAAGTCGGATATTAATCCGGCGAGTTGGTTGGTCTTGATTGCCTCGTAGCCAGGGGCTTGATTATGAATACATGGCTTTAAATCTTAATTACCCCACAATGTTATACACTGTCATTGACTGATGGTACTACATGGTTGTTCTTTTTGTAAAAGAATATGAATAGAGTATCTAGCAAGTATACGCCTCCATAGCCAACAACATTGGGCATGTAAATGGGTCATATGTAATGTACTTATGGAGTAAATCATCCGAGCCCTTTGTAATTCAAAGCAAGCGTGGGATTACATGTATAGTATAGCAAGAAGTTTCCCATGTAGCATCACCATCCAGCTCTTACTACGCTGAACAATAGCTACACCAGCATCTGGTCTCTCTTAAACAACATGTGTGTGAAACCATCAAGAAAAATTCATATAAAATACAAGGATGATTTCTCTCATTGCCCTTCTCACTTGACATTTCAAATCAATAATACAAAAAAAAAAAAAATGTCTGATCAAAAACCCAGTGCTATGATGGATAGTGAAAAGGAGCTATCAGTCAGCTACTCTCATGAAGATCAAGTAGATGCCTTGGAGAATATTGACCCCAAGTTGGAGGCAAGAATCAAACGGAAGCTGGACATGCGAGTGGTTCCCATGGCAACATTGATCTACCTTATGGCCTTCATTGACAGGTACATTATACAAACAGTCTATAGGTACCCTTGATACTGACCAAATGTACAGATCCAACATGGGCAATGCTAAAAATCTGGGCATGACTCAAGATCTTGGACTGACAGGCCATAAATTTAGCATTACATTAACTACATTTTTCATCACCTATGTTTTATTTGAAATGTAAGCTAAATAATTCTGTCATGTACTATATACCAAGCCGCTAACAAAAGCTCATGCACAGTCCAACCAATATTCTATGTAAAAAGTTTGGCCCTCGTATCTGGCTTTCCATGATTGTATTTGCATTTGGTGTTGTCTCCATGTGCCTTGCATTTTCATCTAACTTTGCTGGATTGGCCGCTGCCCGCGCTTTTCTAGGCATTGCTGAAGCAGGTATCATGCCTGGCATCTCCTACATGCTCTCTACGTTTTATCGTCGTCATGAATTGGTCACTCGCGTTGGCATCTACGCTTCTTTTGCTAGTCTGGCAGGCGCTTTTGGTGGTTTATTGGCTATCGGCTTTAGCAAGATCCCAGATTGGGGCATCATGCACACTTGGCGCAACATTTTCTTTTTTGAAGGCATCTTGACTTTTGTTGCTGGCATTGCTTGCTATCTGGTGCTGCCTGATTCTCCTGAAACTGCTAGCTTTTTAACTGAAGAAGAGAGACGCATTGCTTCCCTGAGAATTCGATTGGAGACATTGACGCATGAGCAAAAGAAATTGAAACGTGTTCACTTTGTTCTCGGTATGAAGAATCTCAATATTGTATTTATGTCTGCTGGTCTGTTCTGTTCTCTCCTGTGTATGAACTCGATTTCTCTCTTTATGCCTTCGTTGCTGGCCAGTATGGGCTTTGATTCTATCAAATCACAGTTAATGACAGTGCCTCCTTATGCGTGCGGCACTATATTTTGTATCGCTGCCGCCATGATCTCAGATCGACTCAAGACAAGAGGTCCTATTCTGATATTTGCTGCTGGTCCTTTGATTGTCATTGCATTTATTATTTTGCTGACGGTAGAGACGACAGGCGTTCGCTACATGGCTATCTTCTTTGCTACCTGTGGCGCTTTTACTGGATCTCCTGTGTTTGTAGCTTGGTTGGTAGACAACTCGTCTGGCCCCATGGTCAGAGCCATTGCAAGCGGCTTTGCCGTGAGTGTGGGCTCTCTGGGCGGCCTTGTTGCTACTTGGACTTACTTGGCTGAAGAGGCACCTGAATACAAAGCTGGCCATACCATCAATCTCTGTGCTGGTTGCGTTATCATAGTATCTGCTACACTTGCAACCATTAACTGCCGATGGGAGAACAAGCAGCGTGCTGAAGGAAAGAGAGATTTCCGCTTGGATGGTCTGACAGATGAGCAAATGTCAGAGCTTGGTCACACGCATCCCAACTTTCGTTACACTACTTGAGATGTCTGTATAGGACGCATCTCTCTTTGAACGCTTCCATTGTATAATACGAACAAAACTCAAATATACATATACATCTATTCGTCTCTATGTACACAGCTTAATTCAATGATAATAAAAAACCCCTTTATTTAAAAACCCCTCTCAAATTGCTTTGCACCTTGAATGGGAGCAACAAAAGAAGCTCTGTCTTTAGTAAAGAGTTCACCCATTGGCTCGAACAAGTTGACACTAGTAAAGATGTATGATGAGTACACGCGCAATAGATTGGCTTGGATTGACTTACCCAGGTCCATCAGCAGAATCGAGAAATCCAGTCTTGATGACGCTCTTTTCGCCATTATGCTTCATGGGTTGATTGTATAGATGAGTACCACAGGCACCGCAAAAGAACTTGTGTTTTTCATGCCCACTACCAACGGTTTCTTTTGGAAACACGTACTTTTTGAGATTGTTGGAGGGATCGTCTACTGTCATGTTCTGGGTGTCATAAATGGCGCAAGTTTGGTATGGACCACCAGCAGACTTTTGACAATCGATGCAGTGACATGCCATGGCTTTGACTGGTTCGCCTTGGAGCGTAATATGGATTGATTTACAGATGCAGGCGCCTTGGTATTGAGTGCTGTTAGAAGCCATGGTGTAGCTGTTTATGTAAAAAGAAAAGAGACAAGATCACAACATGCCATGTGGTTTATATAGCTACATCATTTGAATTAGTAAGCTCCTCCTGCTTCCCCCCCCCACGCTTCTTAGGTCACACGAAGCTTCATTTAATGCGATTCAACATCTTTGTCCTTGTCGGATACATTTCCATTGACTCTAGTTGCATAGCCGCTTGAAAAAAAAAAAAAAAAAAAAAGATCTCTGATCTATCAAGGTAGAAGGGCCATTCCCGATCAAACACTTCAATTCAGTAGAAAAAGCCCCTGTATGATATCAAAACGCATCTTGGTTTGTGTTAACATAGTGTGGGTAATTTTATTGGCATGTTATAACAAAGTAAGAGAGCCTGCTCTATGATGTTTGTTACAAGAAGGAGAAGCCTCCCCATCCATGGCCATTCAATGAATTCTGATATTCTGATTCCAAATCAGTATACACAGGTAAACGGCCTAACCAAGACATGTCCTGTTGCATGAGATCGAAATCCCAATTTTCAATGTTGCTGTTGTTATCATTGAAGGTATACTCAGTGGCATGCTGTGTTTGTTGCTGTTGCTGCTGTTGCTGGCTAGGAGGATACTGGTTTTGTACAGGCAGCTCTTGTAGCTGTATTTGTCCACTCATTTGCTGTCTTTGCGACAAGGTACCTAGAATTTGTATACTAGACATCATGGTAGATGTGTTCTTGTCCTGTTGATCTATAGTTATTGTATCAGTACTGGATTCACTCGAGACACACCCAAGCCATCACTTACCGTGGGTTGCTGCCCAAACATGATGCTCTAATTCAGATAGATAGCTATAGCATTTCTTGTCAGACGCGCTGTAATGCTGATATTCACCCATACACCGTAAGCACTCGTTCCAGCTCAATAATAATGACTCTTCGCCTATCACATCTCTTATTTTGGGAAACAACCTTGCCATCAATAACACAGTCGCTGCTGTATACAGATCTAGTTGAAATCATTGTGAGTCAGTTTGACACTGTCTACTTTATTGAAAGAGACTTACAGAATATGCTGTACCACCAAGCAGGCAATTGGGCTTTGATGTTGTGACTAATCGTCTTGATAAGATCCTGAGCTATCAGGACACATTTTTGAGAGCTTTGTACAAACAGCGATCGCTGCAAATCAGTGGCTGTATGAGCGGCAGAGGTCTGATCTGAGGTGCTGTGCTGATGATTCGTTGATTCCTCCAGTGTAAAGTAGAATACCAGCAAAGGACGATACAGAAGAATACATACATGAAGGTATCTGCGCATAGACAGTATATAAGCCGCACAATCAAACCATACACACACAACTACCCGCTTACCTTGCTTTCAATACGTTGCACTGCCTCAGTAGCTTTTTCGCCTCGTTCTCATCCTTCTCCATCCGAAAGATAGCATCCCTGCTCTGGTCATGCTGCAAAAAAGGCGGAAGATCCTGCTTCCAAGAACAAAGGGCCATCTCTAACTTGAGTATTGAATTGAGGCTGGTAGCCAAGTTGTCCCCGTCGATTTCTGATCTCGCAGAGGGAGAGGCATGATCTACTGCTCCACCAAATGTATCTCCATCCGAATACAGTGTCAGCAAGATTTCGCCCATAATTTCATATAGTTTGATCGTGTGCACTAGGAACGCCATCTGACTTGGCTTGGACTCTGGCTGGTTTGCTGGAGGATGAGGGGCTACTGTAAGCAGTTCATCATCAATGACCTGAGGCAGTTTTAAATCACGGGAAATGGGAACCATGAAGGGCCTTCCATACGCCATGGAGATCACTCTGTCCAGCACAATGCACCCGCCCCACAATCTTCTGCGCAGTTCCCTGTCCAGTTGGTTCTCTGATTTTCGCTCCAGGTGAAGCCCAATGCCCTGTGCCACTCGAATTGCCAATCCCACTACAATCCAACATCGACCTGGTAGTTTTGTGCACTGCAAATACTGGCCCATCAACAACAGCGCTTGCACCACCTTGATGTTGCCTGCCTCCAAAATATCAAAATGTAGCAATCGCTTGGATCGCTGAAAGAACACATCCGATGCCACCTCTCGTTCATTTTCATTTGTGTCTGGCGATAACTGGCATCCCAAAGCAAACACCAGATTCAATGTGCACTGAAATAAAGGCTCGTTTTCAGACTCATACAAGTCGTAGGGATCATCTGCCGTGCTGCTGCCAGTGGATGATTGATCCCAGAGTAGTGAGTATGTCCTGAGAAACGACGGTTTGTGCAGAAATGGATACAGTGTGTGCACATACACCCAGTAGCTCTCGAGTAACCCGTCAGCTACCTTTCGAGGAGGCAGCACAATGTCACTCAGCAAATCAGTGGTCGAGAACCTACGCTGTGGTGGTTGCTGCACCGAATTGGAGCGAATTGTAGAGTTGATTGAGCTGGGCGAGCCTTGGGAATGATTGCTGCCATTGGAGGGATACGCAGACGAAGTCTTTTTATCGATCACATCGTGAAGCTGCCTCATGAAACGACCTGCACTCGATGAGCCAAAATACCCTTGCCCGTGATGATCTCGGGTCAGTTCCTTCTCGCTTTGATTGTTGCTATCACTGGTCACTGCTCCCATAGCATCTATTGCAGAGACCTCCTGTTGTGGATCATGGGTTGAAACTGCATCTTGCGATGGCGAGGGTGAGTGCTGGACAGGTTGCTGCCAATCTGCAGTGGATGTTGGTGTGATGATTGATTGGATACTTCCCTCTGTGTGTCTGCAAGGACTAGCCGTAGCAGTAATTGTAGGTGCATTGGCAGCAGTGCTCAAGCGCAGTGGCCGCGGTGTCATGTTGTTGTCTGATGGAGAGCTTGGAATATTCAAGTGATTCTGTTGTATCAATCGATTCTCCATAGAGGGCACCATGGAGGCGGTGAGAGGAGGCAGCTGAATGACGCTGGGTTTCTGCTGCTCTTGCGATTTACCGATAGCTTTTTGCAGCTCTTTGACCTTATCTTCCAGTAATTGCACATACCTAAAGATAAAAATGCTTGTTAGTGCGTGTGTGGAATTTATGCCGAAACATGATCTTTACTGATTTTTGACACCTCTTCTTCCACGCTCAGGGCTGTAAGCACAAGCATCTTCGGGTAGCTTCTTTTTCCGGCAAGATCCGCAAATTGGCTGCGCTCCATCACACTTTGTCTTGTGTGTTCTGCATTCATGGCAAGCAATGGACACTTTGCGTCGTTTGGTAGGTGGCACCGCAGAATGAGGACTCGTTGTTGACTTTGAAGGAGAACTCGCTTGTGTGGTGTTTGTGGAAGAAGGTGCTATTGGCTGAAGTGGTTGCAGTGGTGGAGTAGCCTTGTTTTTATCAGCTGTTATTTTCTCGCCATGATGACTACTCGTGCTGTCTCGTCGAGCGTCTGTCATTTTCTTATCCTTTGCTTGAGGTTGATGAAAAGCTGGATAAATGAAGAAAGAGAAAAGAAGTATCACTGCTGATTTCCTTTGCACTCACACACAGACACAGACACACATTCAGTTGATTTTTTTTTTTTCCCATCTTGCACATTTTTCTCACAGAAAGAAATCATTCATCCATTTTGTAAGGTGAGGAGCGTGGAATTTGATTGTTTACCCAGATACAACTTTGTTCAGGAAATGTATCCCATTGGCTACTACTCCTGGATCCCCACACACACGGACACACAGACACCTTGATAGCAATGGATGGATAGCATGAAAAGCTAAAATGTATAAATTGAGATCTCATCGAGCAACACCTTCCCTTTCTCTCTATCCATCTTAAGTACCTTTACGTACTCAGCCTCTATTATATCACCATGTCGCCTGTCTGGAATCGTTTAATTCGCTTTGTTGCTGCTGATAGCAAAATATACTTTGGTGAGCCTATCGTTGCTGATGCTCATGTTACTGTCGACAAACTCTTTGAGAATGGCACTTTGGAAGCTAAGGTAATTACTGGCGACGTATTTTCTCCTGACGCTGTTGTAAGCGATCAAGTGGAAAAAGTCACCGAGATCCTCTCTCCTCTCAGTAGAGATCAAGTTCCCATCATCAAGTGCATTGGTTTGAACTACAAAGCCCACAGTAAGTTGATCTGCAAGCGCAGAGCATAACGTTTACATGTACTTACCGCATGGATTAGTTGCTGAAGGTGGCCGCACACCTCCTCCTTATCCTTCTGTCTTTATTAAGCCCTCCCACTGCCTCGCTGATACCTTTGAGGATGTTCCCATTACCAAGATTGCTCAAACCACTGTTGATTATGAAGGTGAATTGGTAAGTTTCATAACGAGAAATGGGAGTAGTGACACGAATCTGATTCCATTTATCATAATAGACCATTGTCATTGGCAAAACCGGTAAGGATATTCCTATTTCTCAAGTGTCAGAATACATTGCTGGTTACACTGTGGGCAACGATGTCTCCAACAGACTATGGCAAAGAGATCCCAAGCACGCTGGTGGCGTTCCTCAATGGTGTTTCAGTAAAGGCTTTGATAAGTTTGCTCCTATCGGTCCTGTTGTCGTTTCCAACAAGCTTCTCGGTGATCGTCCTGCTCTTGATCTCCAAACCAGAGTGAATGGCGAAGTCAGACAATCCACAAACACCTCTGATCTCTTGTTCCACGTCCCTGAAATTGTTTCTTTTATTTCTCAAGGTACAACTTTGGAGAAGGGCACCATTATCATGACGGGTACTCCTGCTGGTGTTGCTATGGGCATGAAGAAACCTCGCTATCTCAATGACGGTGATTTGGTTGAAGTCGAGATCCAAGGTATTGGTAGAGTTGCCAACCACATGGTTTTTGAGAAATAGATTAAAGAAAAAAAAAAAGAAAGATGATTGTATATAAACATGTTGAAATAAAGAATATTTATTGCTGTTAAACGAGTGCATGCTTGTTTCGGTCAAGCCCGGTGCCATAGTTACGACTAACTATTTATCCCCCTGGTGATTGGAATGGATCGTTTTGATACTTTTACTATCATGTAGGTGCATCAGCTGTCGTCAACAACTGTAATGCTTTCATATAATTGTTGCTGAAGATAAGCGCACTCAGGACCTGCCAACGGCCAACGAGATTGCAACCACCATTCCCAATGGATATTCTGATACACATTTTAAAGATATCATTATCACATACCAAAGCAGCTTTTCAGCCAGTGACAATAGTTTCTTTTAAACAAATCAATGAAATGTACATGATACTGCCTACATGTCATGTTGAAATACAACAGGTTAGGGTTAAAAGTTGCGATTACATATATTTTGATGGTGAGTCAAGCTGACTGGCATTGCCAGGTATTAAAATGCTTAAAAAAACACAAAGTAAAGTATTCGGTTCAAGCGTTTGTCTTTTCAAAAATTTGATACCTATTTAATCAGCATCCTAATCATCATTGTCATCATCAGAAAGGCATCTGGGTCATCCAGCAGCACCAAAATTGATTCAAACTCAAAGGTTTTTAACTGCTCAAGAGTGGCCAAGTTTTGCGTTTTTTCGACTTCTTTAAACTATGTTGAGAGATTCCACTATATAAACTGTAATGATCAGTCCGTGCTTCCTAATACAGTCCTGATGTACTTTTCAAGGCGCTTCCAATGGTTCCAAGTAAAAAAGATGTTTTGACTGAGCGTATTGAGCAATATCAAAAAATATGAAATGAGGTTTCTAGCAAAAATGTCAAAAACTTACATATAAAAGATACACAAACGACGTTTCAAGGGTTGCTTTGGATCGATAGCAACATTTTGATGTAATACATACCATAGTAAAAGTCATCATCTTCAAGGTAAAAAAAAAATGCGATTGTTTGATTTTCGATGAAAACCATGAGGGATACCTCATGCTTTTTGGTCCCCAAAAAGTTGAGCAAGGGTGGCAGGAAGTTAGTGCTAGATGAAAGCAATGGTTTGATACTATTCTGACGGCCTAAAACGGCCTTTAACACAAGAAATCACGGCTCAAATGCATCTAAAATACGCTGTGTTTTGCGCACAATCGAGTAATAAAGGGTAATGCGTGTATCAGATCGTTGAAGGCCACTTCCATCCAAAGTAAAATGGAGTCAAGCGAGCCATGTAATCATTGTCTGACATATCAATATGCTCGCCGTCTCCATCCGTCCATGGTAACCGGGATTTTGTTGAAATGAAATATATGACAACGAAATATACAAAGATACAGCCATTTAGCCAGGTCATCCTTGGCTGTAGCATCATTCAGCGTACCAGAACAAGCCCAGCCAACATAGACGCAAAGACTCATGTTTGACATGAGGCAAAACTACAGCGTGCATAGTCCCCAACACCTACATATGCGAGCTTAGGCTTTGATGTACTTATATCTGCATGGCAAGATAAGCTGCCTCCTTCGGATCCAAAGAGCTTATCAAAAGCAGCTAATACATCCAATCCGAATTATTGATTTCCATAGCAGTAAACTTATACCCTTTGCATCTCATATCGACATTTATAATTTCCTGGGCAAATACAAGATTTTATTGATATAAAATAAGCAATGTTTAATGTGTACTCATATCAGGCACACGCATTTAATGTGTATTGTATAGTTTTTCATTTTATTTATTGTAAAAAAATAATGGTCTCTCTTGGTTGCTTTTACAAAAAGCTTACAGGTTGAACCACGAGAAGGTGGAGACCAATCTCAACCCAAAAAGTGAAAGTAGGCATGGGGGAAGGGAAACACATGACAACACAGAAGACTTATTACAGAAGACTTATTACAGAAGACTTATTACAGAAGACTTACTACAGAAGACTTATTCCAGAAGACTTACTAGAGAAACCCTCACACCAAAGACACGAAACTCTCAAAAGACAAAGTACCAAAGACTTGAAAACCTCAGAGTGTGCCCTTAAAAATCCCCCATGCGAAAGAATACGACCAAATAAATATAAATATCTATATACTAGGACCAGAGAGAGCCAGAGAGAGCCAGAGAGAGCCAGAGAGAGCCAGAGAGAGCCAGAGAGAGCCAGAGAGAGCCAGAGAGAGCCAGAGAGAACCAAAAGTATCCAAAGAGAACCAAAAGTATCCAAAGAGAACCAAAAGTATCCAAAGAGAACCAAAAGTATCCAAAGAGAACCAAAAGTATCCAAAGAGAACCAGAGAGAACCAGAGAGAACCAAAAGTATCCAAAGTGAACCAGAGAGAACCAAAAGTATCCAAAGAAAGCCGTCAAGTAGAATAGAACCAGTCTTGAAATACCATAAGCCTTGTATTGTGAACCACCCTGATTCAGAGCATGTTACCATCCGTTATGTGCAGACAAGACAAATATACTTACATGATCACCAGTCTTCTAGTAGCGTCTATTGTTTTTGAGAAAAAAAAAAAAGATGAAGAAAAAGATAAAGAAAGGACGTGAGATAAAGAGAGAAATCTTTTACCTTTTATACCTTGATTACAGTAGCAACAATTTAAGGAGACACGCAAAAAAACACTTCAAACGCAATTCTGAACGCTACTGGCATCCAGAGACAATGCAACTAATACCATTGGAATCGCCTTCAACTGCCCTACAATATGATATGCATTATTACTACTGTATACACACAAGATATGATATAAACTCATATGGTTTATTTCGTTTATTGATTAAACACAGTCAGCTTGTTTACATTTACATCTTGTATTCGGTTGATAACGGAAAGTGAACAATTTGATTCGCTTTGGATTTGAAAAGTTCGAGCAAAATGTAAACAATAACGGGTTCTTTATCAGTATAGTTTTGCAGTGATTGCAGTATATAAATTATATGTATTCACTATTTTATATGTACAAGCAGAGCTGTCAAAGTTCTGGTGCTACTGTCACCAACAGGATATGCTCTTACTTCTTTGAAAAGAATGTAGGCAAGTTGCACGGAAAACAAACAAACAAAAAGTCATCGTTCAATTAGAGTGAGCATATTGGTAGTAGTGCAAGCAAACCCATTTGAAGCTATATTTTACAATGTGTATCCAAGTAAAAGGCAATCTTGATCCGCTGCTTTTGGGCCTGTAGAACACTTGGGTGACATGACGCCGCCTCAAAATACAGTATTTGCATGATTTTTAAAAAGTGTGTATGTATAAACCAGTTGTCTGTCTTCGTTAGTGCTCAGTAGAAACCTCGCATGTATTTCATAATTAGTATTGCCATCTATTTGCTAAAAATTCCTAGTAACAGGAGATGTGATGGCCCTTACACTTTAATAAAATGGACATTTGGCATTAGGTTCCCAAGCGTATATGGTATTATAGCATTGCCTTAGTGGCTGCTATAGTATAGCCTAGTAGTGGTATCTCAATGTACAGTACATCAAACCTCAAGTGCCATTTGCAATTTTGAATAGCAAGAAAGTTTGCGTTTCATATTAGGCCATTTATTTGAATATGTAATAAACAATGATTAATCCGAGTGTCAGAAACAAAATGTGCTTCAGAATCAGGCAAAAGTAGAGAGAATAAGCTACTATAATACTTTTTTTCAAATTGCAATCCTCTTTATATTAGCTTCAAGATCGTAGATTACATTGATATCAGAAGCACTCAAAATCAATTGAATTCTCGCTTAACGTCTATTCCAGATTGGACAGATTTTGATCCAAAAACGACTTGATTCATCTATTTTGCAGAATTGGACTATATTAGATGCGATGATCATCTTATACTTTCTAATGCATTTCTGGAGTGCTTTTCAAGGCGCATCGAATGATGGTGCTTATGGCAGATGTTTATAATAAACGCATCGAGCAATATCAAAAAATATGAAATGAGGTTTCTAGCAAAAATGTCAAAAACTTACATATAAAAGATACACAAACGACGTTTCAAGGGTTGCTTTGGATCGATAGTGTTGAGTCTGTAGCGGTTGCGGACATTCAGTAACTCAGCAAGAGTCGGATCATGATTTACATTGTTTCTCACTGTCTACATTAGGACATTAGGTTCGACACAGAAGTGAATCATATAATCGATTATGATGGTCTCTGATAGTGAAGGATAATGATGGCTACAGATCGTATCATCATGGCTGATTGAACGAATCAGATCCTTCAATTGACTGATATTAGATAAACATGATACGATGTATTGACTCAGTTGAAACAACAAGATAGATTGATGATTCATCAGTAATGATCTCTTATAAATAGGATGTGTTTGAATCAGTTAATAAATCTAGAAGTTTTCGTATCTGGTTACTTTTCATAGTCTTCCTTTTTTGAAATCTATCTTAATTTGTTAATACTGTATCTTTGAATACAACATTTTTTTTAACCGTGTAATCCGGATCACTATTGATTTTATACTACAACCGTTTACTCCATTTTATCTCAAATGTCTCAAGAACATACTACTGTTACTGTTAATCCTGCTGGCTCCTTGGAAAACGCAATTGCGGATTTGCGTGAAGAAGTTCGTGGTCTGGCTGTCGAAATTTCGAAGGCTGGCGGTCAGCCAGAAAAGGAGGTGGAACCCCTACGTCTTTTGCTGGGCAAAAGGGCTGCTGACTTGCAATCTTTGTTGGATCTGGTTGTCTTGACATCGGATGGATCTAGATTGCCTCCTGGTTTTTCTTCGTTGCGCTCTGCTGCCAAGGCTGTCAACTCTTTTGTACCTGACGGTCTTCCCTTGTTCCAATGGACCGGCCTGATTAGGGATAGTAACAGGGAAAGTTTTCCGAATGTTGAAGCATGTATTCGTCGGTTTGAGGATGTACTCATCTCTCATGAAATGAGCCTTGACACCGACTGGTCCCGCTTGTTGCCCCGTTGCTTGGGTATTGACCTGCGTAACTGGTTGAATGA